TTATTTATTAATTGCATTTATATCCCGCCCTTCTCCTTACGGACTCAGGGCGGCTGACAATTGAATAAAATACTAACATATATACATACTTAATTAAAATTTGATTAAAACGAAATATTTAAATATGTCCAATTTAAAAGTAATTAAAACCCCCTTTAAAATCCCTCAGGCCAGTCCCGCTAGTTGGAACAGCCACGTCATGACATAACTGACATTTTAATTTAAAGACCTGATGAAAGGTGTTTTGATCTAATGACTCCATGAAATTGAATATTCAATTTAAATTCAACACTTTTGAATCAATCTGGTGGTTTATTAGATGTCTTCAGATCAAATTGATATACTGTATTTTGATTTGAACTGATTTGTTGAACTGATTGAACTGATTCAATTTGGATCTTGAACGATTGGCATATGCATAATTGATACTATCTGTCTGTCTGTCTGTCTGTCTGTCTGTCTCTCTCTCTCTCTCTGTGTGTGTGTGATATATGCTACTATGACCCAGAATGGTTCTCTACAATTTCCTGAGCACAGGGAGATAACGCTTCTCATTTAACCTGCTTTTCCATTTATCTATTTATTCACTTCCTCTGCTTACCCATCCTACCGTGAGGTGCCGTTTTCTTCTTTCCCACGCTGCCTTGCCAAAAATATATGACTGGGGAGAGATGTTGGAAATCTTCTGGTCTGACCCTCTGCTCAATGCAGAAAGTCACCCCAACAGTATTCCTGCCACGCAGGCGCATCTGGTCCCCGGAGGAATTTAGCTCGCTGCTGAACAGCTTTTTCTTAAGAATTTTTCCTGATGAACAACTGAAAATGACCTTCTTATAATTTGCTTCTGATCCTGTCTTCTTGATCCACTCTGTCCCATATTCTGTAGTATCTGAACAATTTAAGGTGGTTATTATGTGTCCCTGTAGGTAAATATACCTGACACATCGGACTGTTCCAGATACATTTTTGCTACAAAAAGCATGGTTGTTCATCTCTGAAAATACTCTAGTTTATCAATATCTTTCAAACTTGATACCATGTCCTGTGGGCAGAGTCTGACCAATGCCCAGAAAAGAGAAATAACAATTTTTCCAGACAGTGCTTTTTTCCGCCTTTCTTTTTCCTTTCCTCCCAATTCTGCTACCTATTTTATTTGTGCCACCTACATCAATCCCCCCCCCTTTTTTTGGTATTCCTGTTAAAAGGAGAATTTATGTAGCATACTTCTGTGTATAAAAATGATTTGTGGGTATGAGACAGATTTTATAGGAAGTATATGAAACTGATGGATTAAATTTTATAAATAGGGTCCTTTAGATAGATAATTATAATCAGTAATTATTAATTCAATTAGTTCCACCTCTTTTGGTCTGAGCAATTCCCAGTTTGAAATGTGGCAAACCAGGAAATCTCCAAAACTAGTTTCATACAGAATTTGCAATTTTTGGTTAACAAGATGAGCAATGTGGACATTGCACTACTGGGATTTAAATCTCTGCCTATCATTTGTTTTAATCAACACTTCCTTTTGGAAGGGTGACTGCCTCCAGTTCAAGATCACCTTCATTCAGAATTAAAAAACAAAACAAAAAACGCCGAGTGCTCCAAGATGAACGGACAGACAAGATGTGCTCAAGAAGGAGGGGAGGCTATTATGGAAGCAGTTTCATTCTTGATATACCCTTATCTCAGGAACAGCATTTGTCCACACCAGGAACAAAATATGCCTTTAGCCGCATACCTGCTCCATGAAGATGCTTTTATAAATAACCGTCTGGTTCCATTCAGGATTCAAGCTTTTCTGTATGTATTTTGTCTTTCTCTTGTTCTCAATGCTGAAATGAAACAAAGGAACGTAACATAACACCACTTTCATAGGTTTCCTATTGTTTCAATTCATAAACAGTTTTAACACATCTGATGATTAAACTTTCAGGCTCGTGTGGTCAAATGAGATTAGATCTCTTTCAGTGTAAATGATAATCTTCTATTGAGCATTCTCCATATTGTCTTCATTAAAATTAAAGTTTTGAATTGCCAACATGGCTAGTTGGAAGCTTTTAAATCTCTTTTGTGCAATTGAAAACAACACAAGGAATATATTGCATTTACAAATTGCTTCTATACAATAATATTTATGAAATAATGATGAAGCACTGGTTTTCCTGAAAAATATACTCAGCTGATAAGACAGATAAATAATACAACATATCATTTAATAATAATAATAATAATAATAATAATAATAATAATAATAATAATAATAATAATAATAATAATAATAATAATATAGTAAAGTTGGAAGGGACCTTGGAGGTCATCTAGTCCAACCCCCTGCTCAGGTAGGTTCCTAGCTTTGGCTTGCCTTTAATTATAGGAGAGTAATTTCTGTGAAAATCATAAAGGAAAACTCAAATCACTATTGTATTAATGACAAAAACACTAATTTAATATTGATTAAATTGTCACGTGTTTTCCCAAGCCTGAAAAAATAAATGTCCCTTTACTGCTGGGAATGTACATGGCAGGTCATCCACTGTATATCAGCTCTTAATTGGAACAGTTATTTCATATAATTATTTTATACAGAGAAACTTAAAGAACATTAAGTTCTATGCATGCTAATGGATCTCTGCAAACTCACTTTTGTTTTAATTATGTTTTAGGATTATGCATATTTTACAGGGCATTACTGCTTTCATGAATATCCCTCTGAACTGAAATTAATTATTATATAATTTTAAAGTTAAGTTGTCTCTTCCCATTGGCCAATAATACAGTAATTTCTAATAAGTTAGCTCTGCTATAAAAATATTGGTTTCTTTAGGCAAATTAATTTTTGAGGAGAAGTGCAGAAGTGATATATCAGATATATAAGGTCAGCAAATAGTTAAAGCCTGAATGTACTATGTAACTAGTGTCACTTCAGTATAGTGTATGTGTGTGAGGGATCTTTGCAAGCATGCAGTAAGACACTTTTTATGCATGAAATGCTTGGAGCATTTTCACAGGATCCCAAAACAGCTTGCTGGTCTCTGAGGTTGATGGATCAAGAGGGGTGCTTTGCTTATCAAGTGATTTAATAAGATCTATCCAAATATCTAACCATTTAAAAATAATAAGTGCAATTAAAATTGAGCTATATTTGGATACTAACTCATATAGCAAGAATCCCATAAACCCCAAAGAAACTGATATAAAATGGAAAACTACAATTTATGCATAAAAATGATTTTTCTGTAAGGTATTTGCACTTGCTAGCAAGCAGTTCATGTTAGAGACACAGAACAGAATAATTACTATTTTTTTTCCTTCCCAATGTTTTTCTCTGCCAGATTGTGTCGATCCATTGGTTGTGACAGGAATTGGCTGACCGTCTTGTCATCCAGGTCTGACTTTGTGCCCTGAGCGAGAGGGACCACCCAAAGTCAGCCAGCCTGCTTTTAGGCTTAAGATGGGACTAGAATTCACCGTCTCCTGGTTACTAGCCTGATGCCTTACTGGAACAGGCTCTCAGAATAATTATTAATTGACAGTGCATTATTATTTCTGCATATATTAAAATAGTTGTGATCTTTCCCAATTAATCCAGTAATGGTGGGGTAAGATGCTGCCTCAATTTGTTGCCTATTATAATTTTTTCACCTCTGGCCATCAATAACCAGATCAGCCATTCTTGGGGGAAAATCACTTTTCTTTCCTGCTTTGCAGATCACTGGAATTCTGGGCAGATGAGTATATACTGTATGGATGTTTTCATGCACAGAGCATCAGTTAAAGAATAAAGCACTCTACCTTGCATTCTGGACAACCATGACTTGGCTGCAAACCCAGTGAAGGAACAATGCATCGAAAAGCAATAGAAAGGGATACAGGAAGCAAAAGATTAGGAATACAAAGAGATAAAACATGATGCCAACCATATATCAAAAGAGGTTGAAAATTGGGGAAAGAAGAAATGTTAAACAGATTGGGGAGATCATAATGGAACTTCCCTCCATTGAAAGCCCCCCCCATAACAGCATTAGCAATTTAGGTCTATTAGGTCTCAATCATAGATAAATACTATAATATCAAAGTGCAGAATTATGATTCATGAATTCATCTTTTCTTTGAAGATTCTGTTTGTTTTTGAACAAACTGTCATATCTGAGAATAAGAAACCAATAGCTGATCAGAATACTGAATTGTAGCTTGATCCTGGTTTGACTGGTCTATGGCTAAAACAAATTCCAATGTCCCATTGTCAGAGAGAAAAGGAACTTTTCACCCTGGGAGCAGATTTGATCTGAACTTTTTTCCTCTCACCGGAAGGACAGAAAAGAACCTAGCTTGAAGCATCCTTATGAGGTTGCAAGGAGTCTAGTAACAGCACCCTTCATCAGTGCTTTGAATATGCTGTGTTACTTTGCAGAAAATGCACGGAGGAGAAAATTCTTTAAACTCTCTTCATTAATTGCAATGCAACCAGGGCTGGCCTTGGGGGACGAGGGAAAGGGGTGCTACTTAGGAAGCAATTAGACCAGAGAGGGAGGAGCCCCCAAAGGATTAACAAGATTGATAACAAATTCCCTTGAAAAACCATTCAACAGCCCCCCCCCCCTTGAAGCTAGACATGCTGATTATTGGTCACGAAAAGAATCCCCTAAAAACAGAAAAAAATGAGAATTGTTGCCTTGGGTGAAAACGTCCCTCCACTTACCCTCTTCCTGGCAGAAGGTAAACTTTGACAAAAGGGTCAGAATAACCATTGTTGTCACGGGGAGCAAGATTTCTTGCTTGAAGGACATGAATAATCAAATTACCAAGTTGCTTGTCATAGTTGATTTGAAGCTAAGGAGAACATTAATTCATGTTAGTTATTTCTGACATGAATTTCTGTTTCTGAAAGTAAAGCCATTTTAAAATTATGTGTTTAAAACTTTTTTCCCCACTATGCCCTGATAGCACTGATGAAAATTCTAAGCTTCCTTAGCGGTTTGACTGAGTGCTGCCACCTGCTGGGCACAAAAGGTGAAGTCTCTCTCAAGTCGGGCTCATCTCCAGAACATGGCGGTGCCAGTGGCAAATGATTCCATCTGAATGTTAGCCAGCTTTACTCATACAGAGAGGCGGCAACAGTAATTATAGACAATGGATCATGAAATGCTTTGTATAATTGGAAAGGGAGCCCTAATGGAGTGTTTGAGCTTGCTGTCCACTGTCCTTGCTATTCTAGAGGCAATCTGGGCTGACTCTACTGAGAAAATGGAGTCGGCAAAGCTCGTCCCGTGCAAATAGAGCCATCCCTCTAACATTCTGAATCCAGAAACCTACTTTTTAGGTTTCTAAAATGATAAAGGATCTAAAGGCTGAGTGGTGTCCAGTGAGGATTTTTTAAAACAAGCCTTCTGCAATATCATCATCATCATCATCAACCTCATCAGTCTAACAACATCCTATTTCCCTGGCCTGGGCCTCCCTCCCCGTTTGCAGCTTGGCCAAGCCAAAGTGAGACAAAAAGTGCACTTTACCGAATAACCCAATTAATGTATCAAACATCCAAACTGTTCTCAAAGTAGCCATTGCACTGTTACTTTATCCCAAAGTACAAACCACAAAAATTAATTTCATACTTTTTGACAAAGGTAAATGGTAAATAATGTAATATGAGACCGTTACCTGGATTTCTCCAGTTATGGGATGGGGACCCCCCTTTGAGACTTCAGCAGGCTGTTATTTAAAAACAAATAAACCAGCACTGATTGTTATTTGTCTCTCTTTACAACTGGAATAGAATTATCACAGCATTCTTAAATTTATACAATTAAGATTAATGAACCATTCATTTGGTGGCTTAAAATTTCAGAGCTGAAATGAAACTTTGTAAAAAAGTGATATTTCCTGCAGTAATTGATTTTAATACCTTGCCTCAAAGATGACTTGTTTATTAACAATTCTAGATTGATACATGCCATAATTTATTTTATAAAAGACCCCTAAAAACTTCTGAATCTCTCTTATCAAATTACAATATTAAATTAGGGTTTCTGCCTATACCAGTGGTGGCGAACCTATGGCACGCGTACCAGAGGCGGCACTCAGAGCCCTCTCTGTTGGCACGTGCGCCATCGCCATCAGCAGCAGGTCCACCAGGCCACCACTGCCACCCGGAGCAGGAGCCCCGCCCAGCACAAAGCAGGCGAAGCGGCCGACTAGCATTTTACATGCGTGCATGCGCACATGGGGCCACGAGCACGCATGCATTGCAAATGGGGCAGGGCTAGTGCCTGTGTGATACTCACTAGCCCTGCCCTGTTCTTGTGTGGTGCAGCGCCTTGTATCTGCACCCTGTGGCGTGGCGGCAGCCATTTTTGCGCCTTGCAGCATGGTGGTCCATGTTTGCATCCCCGTTTTTTGCATGCCAGAGACGGCACTCAGAGGCACCTCCCTGCCCTCCCCCCCACCCCCACCCTGAGGGCACCACAATGCTGATGCGGCCCTGGCACTTTGCAATAAATAAGTGGGTTTTGGGTTGCGGTTTGAACACTCGGTCTCTAAAAGGTTCGCCATCACTGGCCTATACAAATACATCCAAGGCTTGGGCCTCAGTAAGTAGAGTGTCTTACATTTTACTTATTTATTAAATATATATATCCTGTCCTGTTATCCCAGAGTTCAAAGCGGTTTACAAGGGACTCAACCTTCATCTTATCCCCATACAGGATCAACTGTTGTGCCTGTCAGCACGTGACTGAAGCGTGCACATCCAGTGTGAGGGAAGCCCCCAGAGCAGTCACAGTGAGTCAGGAAAGTCTCTCGCTTAACCTAAGACACAGGTTGCTCCCCACCTGACTGATAATAATGCAGGAAACAAAAGCACCTAACCTATTCCTATTCCTCCACCCAGGGCGAGGTGCCCTCCTACCTTGCCGCTGTGCCGCTTCTTGCTCACTGAAGGAGAGCCAGGCTGCCCAGGGCTGGGCACGGAGCTGGAGGCGGCTGACGCGGTCCCAGAGTGCCCGTGGGACCCCTTCTCCACGGCTGAAGAGGCCGTCAGGGGAGCCTGTTGCAGAGAAACCTTTTGCAGCTCTGCAGCCAGTTGCTTAGGATCGACTCCTGGAGATTTTGTTTTATCCACTGAGGGCACAAGAATTCAGAGTCAGTTTTGCAATACAACAAAGTCATCCTGTCTACCTACAGTTTGCTCAGCTTTTACAACAATGAGAGGAAACAAACTGAAAAACATCCAGAAAAAAAATCCAGAATATTAAATAAAATAAATATTGGAATTTCACACTTTGGGTTCAAGATAATCTCTGGGAAGATAGGAACCAAGCTGGGATGCCTGGATCAACTCATTTGGGGAGAAAAGATGGAACTTTCCTGCACTTGAAATATTTTTTACTTCTCTAAGAAAAGAAAACACACACACCCTTGCTACAAATTCAAAAGCTACAGGTTGTATGCTAAGTGCAGCCAAATCCTTCCCCCCTCAGTTTGTTACCCATGTTAGATAGGTCATTTACCCGTCTTTCCCGGCTCAAGCCATTCCAGATGTTGGGAATTCTCGCCTTCAGACAGCATGCTGACATTCCTGAAAGGAGGAACAACAAACCTAAGACAAAAAGAACCCTGACTAGACCCCCAACGATCGCAATAGGGTAGATAAATGAGATGAAGCAGCTGCTGCTGAACGCAGCTCCCTTGAGTATCTTTGTGATGCTTTGTGAACTGGGAAGAGTGACACTGAGGGTGAATTTATGAATGGAAAGAAATGTAGTTTACACCAAAATACATATACTTTACACAATATCCAGATGAGTAACCACTTGTGCGTGTGTGTTAAACTTTTTTCCAGTGCTATGAATCACAGAGTGCCTTACAATCACCTCACAGTAATTTTGAACCATAGTCCTGTACTTGTCTCTAACAGATTTCCATTAGAGTTTGTTGAAGAACTTATGAGTTCGCTGAAATCTGAATCCAGAAGTCCTTTGATCTACGTGTAATGCAAGATAAAGCATTCTTGCAATGAAGGATATGTTATGAACCCATTTAGTTTAAACACTGCCAAAGAATTTTTTTTAAAAAATGGTGGTTGATTATTTTGTAATTCAAAATGAGTCAGTATGTTCTCTGATATTAATATTGTTTTGACATCTGTCTCAAGTGGAATGCAGAGGTTCTAGCCCAGGTTCATTAATTCCATTCCATAATAATAATAATAATAATAATAATAATAATAATAATAATAATAATAATAATAATAATAATAATAATAATAATAATAATAATAATAATAATAATAATAAAGTTGGAAGGGACCTTGGAGGTCATCTAGTCCACCCCCCTGCTCAGGCAGGAACCCTACACCATTTCAGACAAATGGCTGTCCAGTCTCTTCTTAAAAACTTCCAGTGTTGGAGCATTCACCGCTTCTGGAGGCAGGTTGTTCCATTGGTTAATTGTTCTAACTGTCAGGAAGTTTCTCCTTAGTTCTAAGTTGCTTCTCTCCTTGATCAGTTTCCATCCGTTGCTTCTCGTCCTGCCTTCAGGCGCCTTGGAGAATAGCTTGACTCCCTCTTCTTTGGGGCAGCCCCTGAGATATTGGAACACTGCTATCCTGTCCCCCCTCGTCCTTCTCTTCATTAAACTAGACATACCCAATTCCAGCAACCGTTCCTTATATGTTTTAGCCTCCAGTCCCCTAATCATCTTTGTTGCTCTTCTCTGTACTCTTTCTAGAGTCTCAGCATCTTTTTTACATCGTGGTGACCAAAACTGGATGCAGTATTCCAAGTGTGGCCTTACTGAGGCATTGTAAAGTGGTATTAATACTTCACGTGATCTTGTTAATCCCTCTGTTAATGCAGCCCAGCACTGTGTTGGCTTTTTTGGCAGCTGCAGCACACTGCTGGCTCATATTTAAGTGATTATCCACTAGGACTCTGAGATCCCTCTCACAGTTACTACTATTGAGCAAGGTATCAGTTTACTATAAGGAATAAGGAAATATTCCTTTAATACTTAAAATTACATTAATTTTCTTCTCATGTCAAATATTATAAAGTACAGCTCGCAACTTAACAACCATGAATTAAGAAACCATGAAAAGCCAAAAAAACCAATGGAAACAGGAAGATGAAGAAAAACTCACAGTCTTACACATATTTCAGCTTCCCCACTCTGGAGACCGATAATGCTCTGGACCTCTTCGTAGGTCTTGCCCATCAGAGGAAAGCCGTTCCACTCCAGCACCTGCATGCCTAGGAAAGCGGGGACAAGACACGTTCTGGGATCAGCACCATGGGCTCTAAAAACCTTCCCGAAGCAAAGTCCTTCCACTATATGTGTAACGTAAATACAATTGGCATCTGATTTCACCGGATAGGATGAAAACCTTTTCACTGCACACGAATCATGCTAATTTTAAATTTTGCTTACCTTGTTACCAAACTTCATGGAAAATCTCTGTCTCACAAATAAACTGAATAAAGAGGGAAAGGGGAAAAGGAAATTGAGGGAGGAAGAGCTGGCATGAAGTGGCACAAGGAGTCATTGGGACAAATATGGACTTTTCTGTGGTAGGAAAAATCTGAATGGAGGCAGAGACTCAAACTGGAACAAGGGTATCAGTGTCATAATCAGTAGGCGTCTGTGCATATTTCTTGTTCAATCAATATGGACACTATCCATTAAAAACTAGCACAGCCAAATGAATATTTCCCACTTAATTTTTCTTTCTTGCCAATTATTTCCTACATACACGGATCTCTTTTCAGCAGGACCGGCGCAAGGTACGTTGCTGTCTAAACAGGGTAGTCTTCCCTTCCATGCTGAGTAGACCAAGCTTTTCTTGAGTTCTGTCAGGACTATAATTCCTGCTCTGGCTGAATGTGATGAGAAATGAAGGGGAGCCATGCCACACTTCCGACAGAAACTCTTCCCAGTTTTATCACCTAAAACCAGAAGCATACTCTGCCTTATGGTAAGACTAACCCTAGTTTTTATATGGGCAGTGTTCAAACATGCACAAACCCACACAACAAAGCAAAGCAAAGCAAAGCAAAGCCCTGTTACAGGTAGTAGAACAAAATATTTTACTATACCTTAATACAGGAATTGGAGGTACATGAGATGGAAAAGGATGTTCTTGTAAGATAAAGGAGTTTGTATACAGAGGAAGTAATTGGGCTGAAAAAAACCTACCATCTTATAACACAGATTCCATAATATGTATTTAATGTGACATCCTAAACTGGCCTCACTAATCAGTCAAATATGCAGAACGATAACCTTTCGTAAGACCTTGGAGACCTGATTTTGTGCTCGTTCTGGAAAATGAGATTGATGAAGATTGCAAAATGTTTCTCAAAGGTCTCTCTGTTTCTTAATTTTCCTGTTAATTGAACAAAGGACAAGGAAATCAACCCTCCGAGGGTTGATCCTAACAAAGAAGAAAAGCTGACTGAAGAAGTAAAAGAATGGAGAACAACAGAGCGGGCCTCCTCAGGGTGCCGTCGGCCAAGCAGTGTCGGCTGGCGACCCCCAGGGGGAGGGCCTTCTCTGTGGGTGCCCCCACCCTCTGGAACGAACTACCCCCCGAGATCCGGACGATTCCGGATCTCCTAGCTTTCCACCGCGCCCTCAAGACATGGCTTTTTCAGCAAGCGGGTCTGGCCTAGGGTGAATTTTAAATAGGGACAATTTTAATGATTTTAATAAGACACAGCGACTAATATTTGTTTTTAATTGGTTTTTATTGGGGATAATGTTTTATACTGTTTTAAAATGCTGTGAGCCGCCCTGAGTCCTGTCGGGAGAAGGGCGGCATATAAGTCCAATAATAAATAAATAAATAAATAAATAAACTGGCCACATCATCTCAGGGTTCCAGATGCTACAGAATAAGAGACTGAAGCATAGTCACACATGCAGGGAGAGCTGATTTCAACAACTTTAGAGATGTACTTAGTGAGACTTCACAGAAGTCCCGAGATCCAGTGGAGAACAAGGTTGGGAACTTCTATAAAAGTACTAGAAATACTCCATTCCAATAAGGAAAAAAACAATGCAGGGCAACTTAGAAATCAACAGTGGATATACAAGAGCCATTTGAACTGACAGTTAAACTGACAATATATAGGAAAGAGAAGATGGGTTGAATTGTTAGTGAGGTGTATCCAGAGAAGAGCAACTAAGATGATCAAAAGCCTGGAGGCTAAAACATATGAAGAACGGCTACAGGACTTGGATTTGGCTAGTCTAAAGAAAAGAAGAAATAGGGGAGACATGATAGCAGTATTCCAGTATCTGAGGGGCTGCCACAAGGAGGAGGGGGTCACATTATTCACCATAGCACCAGAGGGCAGGACAAGAAACAATGGTTGGAACCTGATCAAAGAGAGAAGCAACCTGGAATTAAGGAGAAACTTCCTGACAGTGAGGACAATTAACCAGTGGAACATCTTGCCACCAGAAATCGTGGGCGCTCCATCACTGGAGATTTTTAAGAAGAGGCTGGACAGTCACCTGTCTGAGATGGTGTAGGTTCTCCTGCTTGAGCAAGGGGCTGGACCAGAAGACCTCCAAGGTCCCTTCCAGCTCTATTCTATTTTATAGTGAGGTGTATCTACAGAAAAACAGTTTCAAGGCTAAAGTTCAATTAGTTCCTATCCTGATATTTAGGTTAGGAACTAAAGCTGACCTAACCTTTAAATTACTCTACTACCCTGGTAGAGACATGGGTTGGGTGTGTTTTAACTAGCAGCTGTTTAAAGTCTCCATGCAAAACCAAATATCTCTCTCACACACATACACACAAATTAAATTACACGTAGGAAAAAAGCAGAATTCTTGAGCTACTTTCACTTACACAAATAATATACTGTTTAACAGGTCATAAATTTGTTTTGAAAACCTAGGTAATGAATAAATAAGACACGGTGAGACATGCATAATAATGGGTAGCAGGTATTCCTTAAAGAAAAATGCTAGAGAATGGCTCTGTATTTCAGAGCAGGTTGCAGCAGTCCAGGTATAAGAGGACTGACCAGGGCAGGAGTGACTTAGTGCAGGGATCCAGGAAAGGGTTCCCATCCCCCTATATCCGAGAGACTCTTTTAAATAGTTTTTAAATAAAATAAGTATGGTTTCTTAGAGAGATACTTCACGTTCTTAATGATTCATGGCTCAATAGAGATAGAGCTAGCATTAATGTATTTGCTTCTTATCTTTTAGATCAGATGTTCCCAGATGTGGTCTAGGAAACACTAGGGTTTAGTAACAGTGCCGCAAATTGTCTCTGATATGCATACCAAATGTTTGTTTTCAAATGGCCAAATTCTTGCAAGAGTTTGATGTTCTTCCGTAAGTATCCTAATATCAATTAGGTAAGAGTTGGTTGTCTCAAGAGATTGCAGCCATAGGCACCTCTGGAGGCTGAAGCTCTGCCTGGCTGCTTTTACTACCATGTGGCTGACCCATGGCTGATATGGTGTTTCTCAGCAATATTCTCCATGGAGCTACCCTTGGAGACTGTTTGGAAGCTACGGCTGGTGCAGAAGGCAGCCATAGGGACAATTTTAAGGGCCCCTATGAGGGCCCCTGGAAAATCATTGTTATGTGGACCTCATTGGTTGCCGATTTGCTTCCGGGTCCAATTCAAGGTATTAGTTATGATTTTAATTTTCCTAGGCAAGTTTAATAAATAATATAAGTGTGGTCTTCCAGTCTCTGCTGTGCTTTAGTAGCCTTTTCTAAAGCATGTCAGGGTCACAACTGATTTGTTTAAGATATGACAGGTGAACATTTTTGAAATTTTCAGAAGAGGTTCTTACAAATAGACTCTTGGGGACAGTATCGTCATTTACGAAACGAATGTCATGGTGGACACACACACACACACACATATGCTGCTTGACCTACTTCTTTCCATTTATTCATTGGGGTCTTCCTAGATTTTTCCTTGAGCAAAGTCATCTTTCCACATGCAATACTGATCAGTATCAATGAGGACAAAGAACAGATCATTGTACCTTCCATAAGTTTCCCTGTTTGTTCAGCATTTCCACCTGGTAAGATCCTTGCAATGTAAGCACCAATTTCTCCATTGGTTCCAGGAATTTCTTTTCCACCTACAACTCGAATCCCAAGTCCATTGCCTGCATTTAAAAAAGAAAGCACACAGTAATTTTTAAAATATAAGGATAAAAACTGTAATGTAATAAGAAAGCTATAGTTTTTTTTGCTGTAGCTGTTCAATTCTATATTTGTTTATTCAGAAATATTAATTTTGTTCCCAGCCAGATAATATAACTTGAATTCCAAGAAAACTGAGAGGAAAGAAAGATCAAATTTGTTTTTATCATGTGATTAAATCAATCAATCAAATGACTTGATTTTATAAAGGAAACTGAACAAGATAAGAGTGGATTAAACTCTGTGTATGTATGTTTGCATTTCATGAAAAATATCCCGTAAACTCAAGGGTTTCGAGAAATGAAGAGTTAACTCTGTTAGAATATGAGAAAGGTGATGAGACAGGAAGAATGAAAAATGTTTCTCTCTGCAAATATAAAAAAACCCAATCATGTCTACCGCAGGTAAGGGAAATAAGTTAGTTTCCATTTAATGCCAAAGCCACAGTGGTGACTGGCAGAAAAAATAATTGTTTCTTCACAGGAATACAAATTTAGCATTATATATTTGTGACCTGAGATAAAAGCAATACATGAAAAGGCAATCCAATTGTTCTGCCAGGAAACCTTGAATGGCCATCAACACAGCCTTTCTGAAAGAAAGAAAGAAAGAAAGAAAGAAAGAAAGAAAGAAAGAAAGAAAGAAAGAAAGAAAGAAAGAGTACAGGAATGACTTAGCTGGATCACACCTGCTCCAGCCTTGGCCACCTGTGTGGAAGACAAAGGCTTCCAGCCCCAAAGACAATTAATTCTTACATTCTGTTCCTAAACACCTTGAACTCCAGAAAACGACCAGGGCGAGTGGTCCCTGGGGAACAAGAGGCCAATTTTAGTAAGAACCAGCAAACTTCTCTGTTTACTGTTTCTACCTTTTGGGGGGTGAGCAGCATTTTCCAGAGTGATTTGCCATTATTTTCTTCCTGCAGGTGTGAGAGAGAGAGAGCAGCTGGTCCCCGGGCTCCCTAGCAAGGCCACTGAGGGCCCTGTGAATGGTTGAATAATGTGTTAATGTACGGAGATGGATTTATGGGGAAAATCTTTTGTATCAAGGCTACCAATACCTGGAACTTGACTATGCTTGGAGAATTATGCTTGTGCTGGTCTTGGGATCTTGCTAAGAGACATATTTTAAGAAATGAGACAAGTCTATTCTTGATATCAAGGACTGGAGTCAAGGAATCTGTGACTTTTCTGTTTAGAAAATAAAATAAAATCCTACTAACAAAAGTGATTCAGAATGTTTTTCTATGGAGTAGAATATTATGATGACTTTTTTCCAATGGCAGAAATTCTAAATTACAACGGGAATCTTGCTCTGAAGCATCCCACGTCTGTCTCTGCCTCTGGTTTACATTGGCCAGAGTGGAAGTGGGAGATGGATGGGGGTGGGGGTGGGGGTTAATCCTCATTCCTCAAGAGCTGTTGCTTTGCTGCTTTCTAAAAAATGTAATTTATGGAAAAAGGTTTTCCCTTTCAAGCAGAACAAACAAAAACACAACAAAAAAACAGAATAAAACAGAGAAAACCAGCAAAACTCTGATGTGCATATACATCTGCCCTGGGTCTTTAACCGCTGCAGCAAACTGCCTCTCTTCTCTAGTATTTCTGAGCATAAACTTTCAATCAAAAAGGAGGTAACAAATATGGAAAGTCACAAACCGTTCTTCTTAAGAAGAAGGGATAGAAACCGTTAAATAAATAAACCAATCTACAGTATAATCAGAAACTTTTTATGGACTGCTTTTTTCAGTAGACCCTGTCTTCATTTAGTGACTGCAATCCTGTTAAATTTTTACCATTTTTCCCCCTTGCAACAAAAATTAAGAAAAAAAAACCTCCTTTCACCATATAAAAACCAGGACTTTCCCCTTGAAAATGTTTCTCTTCTCATCCAAGAAGGATGACATGATAGCAGTCTTGCAATATTTGAGGGATTGCCACAAAGAAGGGGTGGGGGTCAACCTATTCTCCAAAGCACGTGAGAGCAGGACAAGAAATGATAGATGGAAACTAACCAAGGAGAGAAGCAACCTAGAACAGTGGTGGCGAACCTATGGCACGGGTGCCAGAGGTGGCACTCAGAGCCCTCTCTGTGGGCATGCGTGCCATCGCCCCAGTCCTAGGCCTTCAGCTGGGTTTTATAAAACCTTTTCGCTTTAGGCCTCCACCACTGTGTACAAAAAAAAAGATTCAATCAATCAGTCAATTTCAACTTCTCGCGGGAAAAAAAAAGATGTTGCAAAGTTGGAATTGATTGATTGAACTTTTTAGTCCCACCCAGTCTGCTGTTACCACCGCAGCCACGCCCACCCAATGGGCCACACCCACCCAGCACCCGACGATGCATAAGTGGGTTTTGGGTTGCAGTTTGGGCACTCAGTCTTTAAAAGGTTCGCCATCACTGACCTAGAACTAAGGAGAAACTTCCTGACAGTTAGAACAATGAACCAGTGGAACGGCTTGCCTCCAGACGTTGTGGATGCTCCAACACTGGAAGTTTTAAAGAAGAATTTGGACAATCCATTTGTCTTAGATGGTACAGGGTCTCCTGCCTGAGCAGGGGATTGGACGAGAAGACCTCCAAGGTCCCTTCCAACTCTGTTATTCTGTTATTGCTTAAACGTGCTGACTGCAAGCTAACAAGCTCAGTTCTGGGACCTTAATTAGCTGATTAGAACCCTCAGATACTGCCTGGAACTGACAAGATCTTAATCAGTTTCACACTCAAGATTTTTGATGTCAGGCTCATAAAATTTGGTCATAAATGTGCACATCAATAATTTATTTTTTAAATTATCCTGATATTTGCAAACGGTCACCAAATGTGATAGCTGCTAAGCAAGGACTAGCTGTATTATAACTTTGGCAGGACTTTTATTCTTTTTAAGGAAGTAGCATTTAATAAGCGTTGGGCTCTATACCACTGCGGAATTTCAACCCTTCTCAGAAATGAACAATTCCTTTGTATGCCACTCCGTCGTTGTCCATAGACAATCATAGAATCCAAGCTGGATAATCTTGTTTGCTTTACCTGAAACAGAGTGATCTTTTGGGTCGCTCAAGAGCTTCAGCCTTGCATGAGGGAAGGTGTATTGGATAGGCTTCCCAATAATCTGGGGAATACAAAATGCAAGTGGGGATTAAAGGTAAAACATATCCCTTAGGTAACAAATAGTTACTTTGAATTAAAGCATTAGTCTTGCAAACACTATGTTTGGAAATACATCCTGCCTCTTACAAGTACAACTATTTGTATATGCAACTGCACACAGCATGGGAGCTAGTCCACTGCGATTGTGTGCAGTAATGTTGATCCCGAGGAAGAGACGGTCTCCGTTTTGTGGTTCAAGCATCAGGAGCCAGTGAGCACAGCTGACGGCTTTGCCTCTTCCCTTCTACTCTAGAGAAATTGGAGTAAACCAATAAGAGCGTGCTGGAACTAGAGAGCTCCCTGGACCTTCTGAACTGCTTCTATGGAGATGTGAATAATGTCAGGCAAACGCCCAGAAGCCATTTACGACCAGGCTCCAAAGTTTCGATGGCCACCCAGCCTGCAGTTATGTGACCACATTTTGGGCTCTTGGGTGACCAGCCCGCATTTATGGTCATTTATGTGTGTGGTGACAGAAAGAGGGGAATATGCTACTAATGTAGGAACTGCTGTGGTTTGCAGTGATGCTTCCGAACCTTTTTGTTTGTTTGTTTGTTTGTTTTAAATTGGGCTGTACGCTTTGCAGAGAGATGCATGGATGCTTGAGTTTGCTTGTATTTACTTATGCTTATTTGGGATACTCGTTTGTTTTGATTGTAGAAGGTTCATTAGTTTTGCTGCTGCAGCTGAGGCAGAAAAACAGGACAGTAAAAGCAACCGTTACTTGTTTTCCAATTTGTGAATGCTGTAAAAAAATCTAATACACAAAGATGTCACTTATGCAATCTGCCTGTTATTATTTGCTTACATAAGTAACCTTGTAGTGCAGGTCTCCCATTCAATTTAACACATTTTTCGGCATGGTAACAGAAGCAGCAATGTGACAAGAGAATTTATAAGGCAAGGCAGTTGTCAGGCCAGCCTTTAAAATGCAAAATCTGCAGAAGGGCTGGCTTGAGTTCACTGCTTAGGTCATGCGGTGCAGAAATGTTCAGTTCGACTCCTTGGTAATTCCTATAAAAACAGGAATTTCCCAGCCCTTGGCTTAGATTACATTGGCTTAACCAAAAACACTGAATGAAAAGGTTTCGTGAATGTTTTCATTTTTTGTGAAATATGGCTTCATTTTCTAGTAATTTCTCACTTATCTAAGCAAGCGGAAAGTCCTTCTGTCAGAGCTGCACCTTGAAGAAAGCCAGGAAAGAGAGGGAACGCCAGGCAAAGAGGGGACGATTTTTTTTTAACTGCCCAAAATTGAAACCTCTGCATTGAAACTTCTTTTGATAAAATGCTAATTCCAAATAAATATTTGGATATTTTGTGTAATCAAAGAGTTATTAAAGCAGATTTTATTTTTTAATCTTATTTATGGATAGTTGTAGTCCTCGCAAAAACATCTGCTAAAAGAAAAACAACTAGTATATAAGCCTTGTTTATAACAGAAACTAAGCATGCAGAAAGTGAATTTGTTCATATACAGCAACTTCAATTGCTATAGCACAGAATTTAGAATTTATCTAGAAATTTCAGAATATCGATCCTTTAGCAGGAAACAGTTTAGTTCACTGTTGGGGCCAACTGAAGGTGATTTATGATTTATGATGGGGCATTCGGTTCCAACCTCTAAGAATTGGTATAGGGTTTCCGAAATGGTATAGGGTTTCCTGCCTGAGCAGGGGGTTGGACTAGATGACCTTCAAGGTCCCTTCCAACTTTACTATTATTATTATTATAATTACCCAAGGGGGGAAACTGAACAGTAGATACACGTGGCTGATTCCATCCCAGAACCAGAGCATGACCAGAAATGCTTGTTGTGGGGAATATTACTGGATTTCCCCAACAATGCCAGTCCAGACACCCGGACTGTATTCCTGCTTCCGAAAGCGATTAAAATGCTTGGGGCAGACCTGCATTGCATAAATCTAATTATTGGCATTCTTATCAAGTTATTTTGCCAGCAGCAATAGGGGGCAGAACCATTTTGGGGTCCAATCTAAGCGGTCACCAGGACCAGAGGTTTTAGTTTTCTGAGCTTTCAGACCACGTGCTTCAGCTCCCGTCCTCGGGGGGGGGGGGCTGCTTCCGAGAGGGAAGTGAGAGAATTTCTCCCTGAGGCCGAAAGCTCGGAAGACTAAAGACCTTCTGGTCCCAGTGACTGACCCCATATTGGATCCTGCAACATTATCCTGGGACACGTAGATTTGCCTTCATTCGTGAGAACCATTTTAATTTGGTCTTCTTAGTCAAAGCACTTGAGGTTAATTCTCTTAGGTGCAGGTAAGTGGGAGAACCACTGAAAAGAGCTTCCAAAGCCTGTAATATTTTGTTGTGAAATGACTGGAGAATTGAGTTTTCTTGAAATGGACTTTCTTAAGCAATATTCTTGATTGAAAAAAAATAGCCTTCTTACTTGGTCCTGATGCTGGCTCGGTGGTCTTGAGTGGGCTAACTTATCCGGCAGCCTTCTATCAAAAGCAGGTCCATTCTCCAGAGGGGGCTCCCGAGGTTTGTCGAACCAATCTGTTTCTTCCCGACGCAGGTGGTAGGCTTTGAAAACCAAGGACACAGCAGAGGCTCTGAGTGGGAGATGTGAGAAGACTAACAACCCCGGATGCACAGTCAGCATGCACGGAGCAGCTCATACCTGGGCATGCATTTCAAAGCAAAAATAGCACACAAAAGTTGAAGCAGACAAACACAAATGGACGGTGCCTAATTAAGACTGTGTCTATATTACAATAACTTAATCCCTTTGGCCTTTAGTTACTTAAATATTTAACACTTCTGAATGTGGCTTCATAAACATGTATATAAGTGTTTGGAGACTGTCCTTTACCTGCATTTCCACGGTAGCCACTAAGATCAGAATACGGTATATCCCAGTTGCATGCAATGTAGCGAGTGGCTGTGCTAGGAGACGGGGAATCAACCTTGGGTATCAATTTGCAGATTTCAAGCATAACTTTACAAATGTGTTTCCTGCTTATAGCACATTGCCAACATTTATATAAATATTGGTGATCAACTGATTTTAAATCCTAGGACAACCTACAAATAGATTCAACCAATAGTTTCTGCTTTCCTCTTTTTCCTATAATAATAAATCTACCTTTAATTAAATACCATATGTTGTGCAGTGTCTAAACCATTATCCACCCCAGTGTTTTTCAACTTTATGCTGGCTGGGGAATTCTGGGAGTTGAAATTCACTTCTCTTACTAAAGTTGCCAAGGCTGAGAAACACTGATGGACAATATGTTGTCCTGTTGTGCGGCAGTTGGTTAAGCCATGGTCCTTGAGTTATATGCCGGCCCTGAGATCACATCAACCAAATTTAGAGATCAAGTGTTTTGGTGTCACCAACATGGCAACCAGTTTGGTGCTGTGGTTGCAGTAGAAACCGGGAGACGGTGAGTTCTAGACCCATCTAAGGCAGGCTGGGTGACTTTGGGCCACCCTCCCACAGCTCAAGGGGTTGTTGTGGGGAAAATAGGAGAAGGCAGGAGTATTACAGATAATAACAAGTTGATTTCTCAGGTTTTTGAATTGTTTTAATGTTTACTTCTGAAAACTTTCCAGGCAGTTATTGCAGATATGGAATTTGTGAGGACAGATTCTGAGGGGGAACCACAGAGTTAAAAAAAAGTTAAGCCATAAAAATAACCAATCTTTCTATGTGCTTACATAGACTTAATTTTAAAAAATACTGATTTGAATACTAAGTTTTAAAAGTGTAATTCACAGAAATATAATATATGCTTGATAATTCCTCTAATATTACAAATGTTACAGCAGCTGTGGACCAACATTAACAAAACCAAAACAAATTGTGGTAACAGGACATGTAATCATAGCTCAAGCTAAAAATCAAACATACACTAATGTATGTATGTATGTATGTATGTATGTATGTATGTATGTATGTATGTACACACACATACATACACACAGAGTATACACACACACATATATATATATGCAGGGCTTTTTTTTTTCATAGAACGCCCAGAACGGAGTTCCGGCACCTTTTTTGGATGGAACCTTGTAGGGTAGGCAAGGCGGGTTGTATGAGGTGTGTGTGTTCTGGCACCTTTTTTTTTTTTTTTTTTTTAAGAAAAAAAGCACTGTATATATGTATATTCATTCATGTACATATTATATATGCATGTATGTACGTGTTTACAGAATCACATATGCAGTTGGAAAATGAAAAGATCTGTCTTAATTAGAAGCATTTGTTTGTCATAGTTGCCCCTGAAGGGGATCTCAGGACTGACACCTACGTGGCTCTGATGAAGTAGACAAGTAATTCTTTTAGGAATAAGAAATCTGTACTTCACATCTCTATAATAACCACAGAAAAAGAAGGCATGGATCAAATTTACAGGGTATAATTTACTGATTATTGAGAACAAGCTAACAGACAAAAATTGTCAGGATTATCTTTCTTACTGCTCTTATAGACAGAGATAATAGCCTGCAATCCCTTTTAGTAATTTTCATAATAAGGCTAACATAAAAGCACCCACCATCAACCGTTGGCTTTCAGGATTTCTGAGATTACAGAATTGGGCACAAGAGCTTTTTCTAAGTTTCAACAATGAAATCAAAATTCATATCTCCTTTACCACGTCACGTATTTATCTGCTTCAATAAAGCAGGATCCCCATATATTAGACAGTATAAAGCTGGGCATTTTTATGGTGTTGGTGATACTTCTTTAGTATAGTTATATTTATTATAAACTGGCTCTTGGGCCTTGTAACAATCTTGATCGAATCTTCACCGAGCAGCTCAGTCTGCATTCAGTTGATATAAGTGGATATAAGCATAACACGCAGATATAACATTGCCAGTGAAATATTATGTAGCTCCTTTAATATTTAGAGCCTGTACACAGAGATAACAAAAAACAATTTTTAACAAGTTGATCTGGCTTCTACAGAGTAAGTGATATGACATGTAGTAATGCATCCAAAATCTGCATTGATATATATGTAAAGTTCAGTATTTGTATCCATTATTTTAAATTTCTAGCCTTCCAAAATAGAAAAGATTTTGTTGGGTCAACAGAGAAAAGGTAAAGATGACTAATCTACCTGCTGCCTGAGCAATTACAAATCAAGTTACGTATCAGTATGTAAGCGATATCTTTCATTCTTGCCCAGTGATAAACTCCCTTCATAGTGAGGGGATTCCACACCCATTCCTCCTAAGTGAGACCTCCGCTTGCACACCTTAAAATTACTGCCATAGTTTCTGCCTCCAAGCTTTTGCTAAACAGCTTCCTCATAGTGGTCAGGCCCACATTTCCTCCCTCTCGGCTACAGGTGTCCGGCCTTACGATCTCCCAAAGGAGTCTGCGGAAGGAGGGAGAGACGGGAGGGCGGAAGCTGAACTGCCGTCCTTCTGCCATGGGAGAGGGAAACCCGCTGCCTCAAAGGAGCAGGCACATCTGTCCCTCCAGGGATCCAGCTCTACCTGCAACCACCGGGCCACCTGTCTCTTAGCCGTGGGTCGCCCAGGGGCAGGTCACGTGATCGCCTGACATGGCCATGCGAGCAGGCAAGAGGACATGGGAGGCAGGAAGCAAGCGATGCTAGAAGCCCAGAGATAAGGGAGTTAATGGTGCAAGTGCATTGAAGTCTGTTTAATCAAGATCTTGTGTTGATTAAGTTGTTACAATCAATAATGTGGTTTCTCATCCTTAACCATAGTGCCCTGAAGACCTCTCCATCTAAACCAATCCCAGGGGGAAAAAACTTTCTGAAAATTCCAGCAAAGAGGAAAGAGAAATGCACATGCAACATAAAATGCAAGTCTGCCAACGAGTTTAGCAAGCTGAGAAGAACATGCCTACACACTCCAGACATATTTACGTACAAAAATGCAGAAAGGTGTTTGTTTTTTTTAAGTCACCATAGTTCCCAATAGAGTTTGAAATCAGACACATGCATAGAAATGAGGGTTTGTGCTGTGAAATGGAGAAGGCAGCCTGAAGTCTAGTTTACCTTCACTATCTGACATGGCGTGCTGGAAGTCGTCCATGAAGAAGGCAATATCCCGGTCGTAGCCCCGAGCGCGTGACTCCTCCCTCATGTGCTGCTGGACTTCCGGCAAGGAATGGCTTGAGCCAAACTGATCCCTGGTGTCTGCAGATATCGGTGGCAGGGGCCCAGCGGCCGCCCTCGCCATCCCCATTGGCTGCCCCACTGGACTTAAAGGACTCTCTTCCTCCGAGTTCTGTGCGACTATTGGAATCCGCCCTCTGCTCTGACTTATCGGTAGACTAGTAGGCTTAGTTCTTCCAGAAGGAGCTGCGGGGCTGAAGGAAACGTCGAGGGGTTCAGCTTCCTGGGCTTTCAACCTCAAAGAAGAGCTGGAAGTGTCTCGTTTCAGGGACAGGTCAAGCCCATAGACAGAGGATGGCCTAGAGGAAGGTCTCGATCTCGTAGCGCTGGCGTAGGATTTGTCCACATCGTCCTGTAAAGCTGACCTCATGGTGACACTCAGTGCTGCCCCAAGGCTCGTTCCCAGGGAATGAGACAAAGTTGGAGCTATGTACTTCTGCTGGTCTGTAATGTTTTTTCGAAGGCCAAATGTTATGTCATCTTGGAGCAGTTTTGCTTTGGAGGTGATGCTCCCAACTGAAGAGGTGTTGGAAGTCAAATAGGTTGAATAATCAAGCTCAAGATCCCTGCTTTCCTGAATGGGTGAAAATTTGGATATTTTGGGATCCATCAAAGCCTTTTTATGTTTGGATTGTTTCTGATAGAGAAGGGCTGCTGGAAGCTGCTTGGCCGCTTGCTTCTCCAGAGTCAGCCGGCTGATGCTGTATTTCTCAGACTTGGGGAAATGCCTGTAATTCGTATCTGCGTGGTAACAGTGGGAGAGGCCAGCCAGGTGGTCCATGCTTTCTGCGCCCCTCCGGAACTCCTGCTTGATCTGATGCTTCAGAAGTTTCAGTTCGTAAGGGTCCTCCATGGGGTCTTCCTCGGTCTTCATGTAGCTGTGCAGCCGGGAAGACGTTTGTAGGGAGGAGAGGAAATCTGGGACCTCTTGCACTCTCCGAGCCTCGGTGGCCCGAAGGAGCCTGTCGGTTTTGCCGAGGTCCTTTTCGTGCAGGCCATAGGTGGAGCTCAGGGTCGGTGTTTCCTTGGGGAGATCCCCCATGTCATCAAGCAGCAGGTAACTGCGAGCGCTGTGGTGGTCAACGTCTGCATAGAAAGAGTCACCTGACAGGCTCGAGATGGGGCTGCTGGCCAGGCTGCTCCTTTCGTCCAGCCCCAACCTCAGATCCAAAGTGCTGTACTTGCTACCCAAGTGAGCCACCGAGTAGGCGCTATCAGAGGAAGCGGGTGCTATCATGAGAGACGGATTGCGGATGACATCGTAGTTTGTTGTTATCTTGGGTTCCATGTATAATGAGGTTTGCCTTGCTTTTTGCGGGATCATCACCAAGGGAGAGGAGAGCTGATAGGAAGGCTGCAGAGTTGGTGGGGGTTGAGCTTGAGGAGTGAAGGACACGGTCACCACGGTTTGAGTCTGGTAGGGCGAAACCTGCTGTTGATACAAAGGCGGCGGCTGCTGGTAATGGGATTGCTGCGTATAGGGAGTTGGTGCCTGAGTAGGAAGGGCAGGGGAAGAGTATGGATACTGTGTATAAGGACTTGTAGGAGTAGCAAACTGAGTTTCTGGTTGTGTCTGGGGGGGTATGAATTGGTCGAATTCTGTTTGGGGTGCAGTCCTCGGCCTCTCCAGGCCATGCTGGGATTCTGCCCTGGCAGGCCGGGTGCTGCTGACTTCACTGTCGGACATATAATCACGTTCCTCCGCTACCCCTTGCAGGTAGGCTCTCTCCCTCTTCTCTCTTTCCTTGAGCAGGGCTTCCTTGCGTCGGTTTATGCCCATTTCCAGATACCGGAGTTTTGCATCTATTTCTTTTTCTTCCTCGTCAAGCTCTGCTTGCTTTTTGCGAAGCTTAGCAGATTCTCTTTCTACCATGTCTAGTTCTCTGTCTATATCCTGGAGGATTTTAGCTCTGGCCATCGTGTTGCTTCTGCACATCCTCCGGCGTGAAATCGATCCCACGGTGGAGAAGGCCGATTGTGTTCCTACCGAAACGTCCTCGGGAGGCGGGTTGGGCAGGGTCCTCTTGACCTTCTTCTGCGATCCTGAAGGTGCTCCTGCATCCGAAGACTCTTTGGCTTGCTGCACACACACACGGAAACAGAGAAGATACATTATTTTGGAAATGGATAGCACAACTTGTGACCCATCAAGGCAACAACAACACACTCTTTGCTAGTAAAAGTGGAAAAACAAAAAAAGAAGAAAACGGATGGAACTATTTTCCTACAAAAAAAAACCTAGTTTAGAACACAAAGTAATTTAATAATAAATTTGGATGGTTTAAAAATATGGATACAGATACTATTCCCTCTTAGAAGGACAAAATTCAAATGAAAGTCAATAAAGACTAAAAGTCAATAAAGACTAAAAGTCAATAAAGACTAAAAGTATTTCAAAATACATAATACAATTTACTGAGCTCTTATGGAGCTCAGTATTAAACAATAAAGTGCTTGTCATTGTTCTAGACAGTTTTAAAAAGGGAATCAGTGACATTCATAAAGAAGGGATCTATCATTTTTTTTAGCCATTAAGCAAAATTGACCTGCCATGCCAGAGGCAACGTCTTCGTATCAGGAACTGGAGAGCCAGCACTATGGATTTATGGGGATTTAATAAACAACTTTTGTTCACCACTGCTGGGAACAAGAAACTGGATTGGGAGACGTCTGATACTGCTGTGGGACAGCAGAGTCAAATCATGACCTGATCATCCACAATATTTTAGGCCTGCAGCAATCCTTGTCTAAGATTGTTGTGCCAATTGAAGAGACTAGGGTGCTATGAAAAAGTGTAATTTTGCCTGCTTTATTCAACTGTCAAAGCAGCATCCATGTCTACAAAACGCTGAGCATATATACTAGAAGTGGAACAACAGAGAGAAGATTAGCACAAGGCAATATCGATGATGAAGCACTTCCTATGAGTGACAGGGATATGCCTCCCCTGCCTTCAATTTATACATTCTAGAAACCATGTCTAGTGGGAATAGTCCATCGTGGTTTGTATCTTACATACAATTCCCTTTGAAGACAAGTAATGTTAAGCAGAACACACAAAAAGGAGAAAAACGCTAAGCCAAAATAATAGTTTTAAAACTTTTAAATGCCTGACATAAGAAAAAGAAAATAGAGCTAAAAGTAGTTTACCCTAATACCATTCGCTGGACCAGCCTATACTTTATTGCTGCAAATCACCCCTACTTCAAACGGTATTCATTCAGCAGACTCCATACCTTTTTATTGTTTATCGGCTTGTAATAGTTCCACATATGTATATTTATGTGCCTACTGTATTCCATCTTTAATATTTATGATTTTAAAATATGCACACAAAATTTGGGATTAAAAACCTCTTCTGAAGTGTAAGCTGAGAATTATATTACAAAATTCTGAGAAGTAGGGGAAAAAGAAACAATAACTGTTTAAAAGTACATATGGAAGAACTGAATCAAATTGATTTGTTTGAAATGCAGAATGAATTTGGCCCCCATATTAGCTAAATAAAACTAATTTCTCAGATACGAATTAGATGGGTTCTGTCCTCATACCTTCATATCGCAACATACCATTATATGAGAATATAAACTTTCATTGGAAAGTAATGATTGTTTCACAGATTCTTTCTCAATTATGGCAAGTCCCATATTCAACTTTCAACATTTGGTTAGGACAAATCACTGGAGATACACAAGAAATGTATCATCTGTGCCAAAGTTTCCCAGAAAACACCATCCAGTCACTCTGGATTTCTAAATGGACGGAAAAATACAGCAACATTTATTGCTTTTGCTCTAGCTTTTTTGATACACATGCTGCCTAAATAAAAATTATCTATCTATCTATCTATCTATCTATCTATCTATCTATCTATCTATCTATCTATCTATCTATCTATCTATCTATCTATCTATCTAGATAGATAGATAGATAGATAGATAGATATAGATAGATAAAAATAAAAAAATAAAAAATAGAGGAGTACAGGCTCAGCAGCCACCCATTCTGCAACTTCCCTGAATATGAAAGGTTGGAGACTGGATGGAAATTGTTGGTCCCTTAAGGAGCGGGTGCACGTTTTTCTCTTTCAAGGTCAAGGGGGCTTTGAGACCCCACTCAAAGAAGCAGAAATCACTGCATAGATCCAATAACAGGTCACCTCCCAGGTGGCCTTGTTCAAGCTGCATGGGTGGCTGAGCTTACAATCTGGAGCACCCTAACCACTTACAAGGGAGGCCCGCCTGGAAACTCACTCCAGAAATCCATGCCAGACTCCCAGCACCTCCACTGCACCTGTCCATGGAGCAAATCTGACTGACACTGCCTGCCAGATAGCAAAGATGCTCTTCACACAATGACCTCCAAAATATTCTGTTTCTGGTTATGGTGATTTTTAGATTAGATTAGATAACCTTTATTGTCATTTTTTAGCTCATAGAATGAACTCAGCTGGACCTGATTTACATTTTTGGAGAGGTAGAATACAAAAAATCAACAAACTTAAAAACAGGCTCTGATATTGAGCAAATCATTGGCAACTCATCTTTTCTGCAAATACAGTAGACATGCTCCATATATTCCACCTGTTTAAGGCACTGTGCTTAATTACAAACCCTTTACTACACACAGAGAGAAGAAAAGTTAGAAAGAATACATTTAGTGTATATCCATGTATCCTTGTGGCATGAATACATTTAAGTTTTTAAAAATGGACCAACTGTACAAAGAAAAATGTTGATTATGTAAAGAAACGACTACATCTCTTTTCAACTTTAAATAAAGTAGATATCGCAGTGAGATGCTCTTATTCAAGACCATCTCTTTCTCCAGTGAAACATCAATAGTATATTTCTTGCAGTATTAATTCTATTTTTTAAATAAATTTATCCTGGATTCTAACATGACAGGCCTTCATTTCCAAAACCATTCACTAAACATTTCATTTAGTCAAGGCAGTCAACAAAGCAATGCTCATTATTATCATGTATATACAGTGGTGGGATTCAAATATGTGAACAACCGGTTCTCTGTGTGAATGTCCATTCTGGCCTGGGCAACAAAAAATTAGCTACTGGTTCTGCCAAAGTGGTGTGAACTGGCTGCATCCCACCACTGTGTATAGCATGACAATTCAATGTCAACACGTGAAGAATGAGATCTTACCAAGAAGCCCTCTGTGTACTGGAAGTGAGCCCTGGAGAGATCCTCAGCCGTGGGGCTCAGGGGCTTCGGGTCCGACAAAGAGCGCTGGATCACCTTGGCAGACTTTGGGCTCAGCTGAGGAGCCGTGGAGACGTCGGCATGAAGAGTTTTCTGAGAACTAATATCTTCAGCCATCAGCTTCTCATAGGGCACAAAGGCCGACTCCATGACTGCAGCTGGAGGAACAGGTGAAATGGGAGAATAGAGGACTTTGGGAGACTTAGGAGCTGAAGGAGCCACCTGAAAGGTGGTTTCTGGATGCAGGTGGGATGAATAGCCTATCTCTAATGGCGTTGGGCGCTTTTTATCTTTCTGAGGGGAAGTGACTCTATGGTACAGGGGACTCTGGGTGTCTGAATCTGTTTCTGTCTGACATCCCAAACTTCCTCCTTTGTACGTCTTTTCTGGAGCTGAAATGTGCTTGACTATTTCTACCTTTGCATCTAACTGGGCCCTGGCTGATGGAGTCCTTATGGTTCCGACAGGCTCCGTTTGTACAGATATCTCTGCCACAGTCTGCACCGCAATACTGGAGACCTTGGAGAAGGGTTTAGCCTTATCCACCTCTGTGCTCCCTTCGTATTTCCCTACACGGGTCTTTCTTCTTGATCTGTTGGTGGGATCCCATTCATCTTGATCCTCATCATCCGTCTGAACACTCGTGTCAACACTCTTTTTGGTCCTGCGTCTCCGGTCTGCGTAGGCCAGGTCTGCGCTATCCTCATCATCTGTTTGGACGCCACTCTCCACTATCTTTTTAAGACCCCTGGGTTCACCTTCAGTGCCTTCACTGCGCTCCTCGTAAAGGCCGTGCAGCTTTGGCATGGAATTCTTCTTTTTAAGTTGTTTTTCCTCTCTCACATCCATGTCTTTAAGAGATAGCTCAGAAACAGAACTTAACGTCCCTGGCTTGGGAATGTACTGAGTCATGCCATTTGACTGGACAGCGTACCAGCCTTGGCTGTCTGGAATTTCCATCTCCAGGAGAGCAGAAGTAGTGGTGGTCACCTCCTCGCCAGGCCAGAACTGGTTGCTTGCAGCATACTGGCCGTCAAGAAGGACTTGATCTGTGGTCGTTTGTGGGGACACCATTTCAGAAGGATCATAATTATATTGATACATCTGGTGGATTTTTTGCTCTTCTAAGTGCTGGTGAAGCTGCTGTTGAAGTTGTTGGATTTGTTCAATGTGCAGCTGCTGCTGAGCCAATGTTTCTTGTCTCATCATGAACTGAGCTTGCCTCTCTTCTTCCTGCTGATAGAGAAGGTGGTGCTTCATGGAATGCAGTTCCTCGAGCTTCTTTTGAACCATGAACTGCTCTTGTTCTCTAAACCTCTGTATTTCTTGACGTTCCCATTCTAGCTCTTCTGCAAAGCGCTGCTGCTTCAGTTTTTCAAGCTCCAGAAGCTCACGTTCTATGTCCAGATGCTGCTGCTTGTCTTCTTCAGGGTCAATGAGAACCGTTCCTTCATCTTCAATTCCATCTATGAACGCTTCAGAAGCCGTACTAAAGACAGGCAGCGCTGGCTCAGTGGCAATAGTTTCTAGAGGGAGAGGTTGCATCCCTGGGTCAATGCCAGCAACAGGAGTGTCTTTTTCAGAAGACACGGTTGTCAAAAAGTGTAATGATCTTGGGAGCGCCTGGCTCTGTGGCAAGTTTGACAAGGAAGGCACTGAATCAACGGCATGAAGAGAAGGCAGGTCTCGGACTGAAGTGCTGAAAATAGAGCCAGGCTGTGTGGTAATAGCAAATGTAGATGGGACCGGAGCTGCCACTGAAGAGTAAACCACCCCATTGGATGATCTCAATACACTTCCATAGGGGGGTCCTAAGGAGGAGACCATTCTTGCTTGGGAATACTGAGGTGCACTAATGCCAGAAATCACATGTTGGCTCTCTGGATATAGATCAGTAATCTTGCTTGAATAATCCATAATTTCACCTGAAATTATAGGGGAAAGTTATAGTCCAGTCCCCCAAAACATCGCCTTTAATTTTCGTGTGGATTCTGAAAGGCAGCCTACAGAGATGAGTGATAAATATGAGCGATAAAGCGGGAAGGAGCTGCATGCAAATCTTCAACGTTTTATTGGGCAGGGGAGGAAGACAAAAAGAACATTTTCTGAGCATGCGGGCACATGCAAGTACCTCTTTCCATAAAACAACTGATGAAAATTGAAAAATAAAATACATGGGTAAATTCCAACAAAATTTGCCACACTGTTGAACATAAAGCCTAATGAAAGGGGGAAAGGCAAAAAAAAAAAAAAAAAAAGAGGCAAAAATCATCCTGAAATGAGGCGAGCAACGTTGTTACTAAATTTCCAAGAAAAGCCTGACGCCTTGTCATACTGACCTGTAGTGATTCTGCCAGAAGTCAAGTCTACCGCTAGATCGGCTGCCCCAACCTGGTGCTCAAGGGCGTTCTTGTTTTTGTACTGGTAGAGCCCAGCCTCGGATAAACTGGTATCCGACATGGAGGGCTTCATACCCCCAGTTCCTCTGTAAGCGTAGGGCCCGGAGCGGTCATACTGGTAGTGGTCATCCCTGTAGCCAAAACGATCTTCGGGGAGGGTAGTTGCTGGGGCTGGAGCGGTGCAGCTACTCCCAAATGGCAATTTGTAAATCACATCGCAACAAACAGCCCTTTTCCCTGCGGTCAAATCTACAGGTTTTTCATCCTCTTCTATTACAGTTGTAAAAAATCCTGAAGTCGTTTCATCAACAGTCACCATTGTTCTGTAGGATTTTGTAATGCTCAGGTCAACCACGCCACTGTCCGTAGCTTTGTGAGCATCAGAAGCGTTGACACAACCGTTGGTTACCCCAATCGGAGGTGCAGTGACAGGCTTTGTAGTAGCCCACACGAGTGCCGATGTGGGCGTTCCAAGGGACAGATTTATTGGAGTATCTTCTCTGTCTGCAGAGAGGGCCTGCCTTCCTGTTATTCCAGGACCAGGCTCAAAATGCTTTGATGTTGTTAATTGAAGTGGAGTTGTCATTCCATGCCCAAGGTCTATGAGGCTTTCTATACTGGTACTGTAACTTACAGTAGATGCACAGGTCACCACTGAAATGGCATCAGCCACCGGAGCTAAAGAGAGGCTGACCATGGACACTGTACTAAGATTTATGATCCCTGGCTGAACTGTGCTTACTGACTGGCCAGAAGTGTCACCTGCCATTGTCTGTCTTCTCACATCTGCGGGAGTGGAAGATAGGTCAATGCAGCTATCTGTTCTATCAATACTAGTCTTAGTCAGGGTGCGGAGATCCATAACATCACCAAAGACACCGGATCTTCCATTTTCTCTGTATTTGGTTCGCTCTACCACAGGCAATGTGTCTGGGGGCATAGTTATGGAAACACTATCTAACCCAGCATTTCTTACCAAAGACACGGTAGTCCTTGCTGTTATTAGTTCTGTGGTGGACTTAGGCACCATGCCAAAAATTGGTTGTCCAGTTGTAGTGATAGGCATAGAAGCAACAGCATTCAAAGCATCTGGGATACTCTTGCTTTGATCTGTTGTACTTTGCATTTGCAGCGAACTTACAGATGACATGAACGTCCGTATAGCTTCTGGCGCTTGTTCCTTAAAGGGCAAAGCCGAAGGCCAACTGCTGACGGCTTGGCTGATAATGGATTCCGTTGGAGTCCCGGGCTCAGAGGGCAACGTGATAACAACATAGGTTTCCTGAGAGGGTTTGGACAACCTGGGGGAAGATTTATTAGAATGTGGAGTTGAAGGGGAGGTGGGAGAGGCCAATTTGTATTCAGCAGGGGAAACCAAGTTCAAAGTCATGGAGCTGGTAAAAGGCAGGCTGGCTGGCTTGGACTGTGTTTCTGTTGGTTTATGAGGAACGGCTGGTTTAGGAGCAATTGGCGGCTTTATTATTTCAGAAGGTCTGTGCGCGAATACAAGCCCTGCTGGAATTAAAGCTGGCTTAGGGGGGACGGGAGGTGGGGTTGGCATGCATATTTTTGTGACAGGAGACACACTGGTTTTTATAGCAGAGGCCTCTGCTATTTTGGCAGTACTAATGGATGGTATCATGGTGGGAACTGTGGTCACTGCAGCTTTAACTGGTGGCTTCTTTTTAGGATAAATGGCTGGCTTTGGTAGAATGGGTGGGGGAGGTGGGGGAGGGGGAGGGGGAGGATATGGTGGAGAGGGATGAACAAGAGATCTTTCCAAAAATGAGTATGTTTGGGAAGCAGCAATGAAAGCCGGAGAGGCTTCAGATGCAGGGGTAATAGAAGAAACAGTACATAATGGAACTACGCAGGTAAATTCTTGGTCGGATATAGCCTTTATTCCTGCCATATTAATGGAAATCCTTGAATATTCATCTTCAGAAACTCTCTTTAGTTCATTAACCTTTGCCACATCTCTTCCAGCTTTGCCATCCTCTGCCAAGGCAGCATGGACAAAACTTGTAGATTTTGTTTCTACAGAAGTGGATGCAAAGGAGTTGGTTTCAGGAAAGGTAACTGATTCCTGACTGGCATCAGTCAGATCTTTGGCTATGGGTTCCTTCTTGGGGGATAACGTAAGAGGTTCATAGCCCTCACTTTGGGAAATTCTAGTAGCCTGTGCCACTGAAACGACCCCTTCTGAATCTGATGGTCCACTAAGAGCATCTACTGAATCGCTACAAATGGGAGTGATGCCATCTGATCCAGCTACGGGTGAAGGGGTGCTAGCCGTGTAAACAGAAGACGTAGATGACGTGAGAGAACACGTCTCCGATGGGAAAAGAGGGGTGGCACTTTCTAAGGCCTCCGAGTATGCCGACACGGACGTTTCCTGGGAAATAATTTCTTCCACCTCACGGGCATAATCAGTAAAATAGTTATCCTCCGTTTCTTCCACTGTAAAGTGCTGGGTAATTTTAACATCTGGAATGGGCAGCATTACAGGGCTGGCTGACATTGTGTCTGAAACTGTTGAAGAAGTGCTTGACACTAGGGAGCTACTATCTCCCACTTCTCCGGACAGACTCCTCCTCTTTGTGACGGAAGCCAATTCAGGGGATGACTGGGTAGGGCTGGAGCCCGGGGTCAGCTGTATTCCCTGCCGCTTCATCAGTTCTTCATAAACCGCCTCTGCCTCTAGCAGCTGTTTTTCATCACTCGATGAAGATGGTGCCACACTGTCCAGGACAACAATTTCATGACTTTCTGGCATGATGTAAGAACTAGAAACAATGTCCTCCTGAGGCATAATTGAATGCAAAAGCTCTATTCTGTAATAGCCGTCTTGTAAATCAATGGGCTTTTGCATAGATTCTTCATAGATGTGCTCCGGGGGGGTTTTCTGCTCTTCCTCTTGGCTAAATTCTTCACACTCCTCTTGTTTTGCAATGAGGTTGGACTCCCCGTTGTACGCATCCTCTACTAAGGATTCATAGATATAGTCTTCTATGAGCATGCCACCATATAAAGGTTCCTTCTCGAACACTTCTTCCCTTTCGTTTTCACCTGGAAGCGGTCTGGCCGTCTGAGATGCCTGCAGCATTTCTTCGTATACCTCCTCTGCGCTTTTCAAAGTCTTCTGATTGTTCCCTTGCTTGGCCATTCCGACGGGCTGTTCTTCTGTAGGAGAATAGAGCGAGACAGCCGTTGGCAATTTATAAACTTTCTGCACTTCTATTATTTTTTCCGGACTGATTTCAAAAGCTTCAGGGTCAGACTCAATACTCGGTGAATATTCAGAGCAGGAAGATCGATGCAGTTCCTCCATCTCTGCCGCCTGACGCAGTTCTTCCGTTGGGGAAGCGTCCTCGATCGGAGAAAGGTTACTGGGTGGTGTTTTTGGTCGCTCTCTCCTTCTCTGGGCTCTGAGCTCGTCTTTGTCTCTCTTGGATTTCTTGCTAGAGCTCTTTCTTTGCTGCTGCTCTAGTTCCCGCTGTTTCTCCTGCTCCTTCAGCAACTCTTCCTCCTCCCGGAGTTCCTCTTCCTCGGAAGAGTCCTCAATTGTCGGGAGAAGAGGCCCCTGTGTCCGGTGTCTGGCTTTACGCTGCTGCTTGGTTTCTCCCCCCATTTTTTTGTGACTGGGACTGCTGTCACTGTCTTCATCAAAGGACGAAACAGAGGTAGGAGACGTACCTGGGGTGAAGCTGGAGGCATGCAGACTAGAAGATCCTTCTCCACGTGATCTGTCCTCTGGTGAATCTGTCAGGCTCTCCATTTCTAATTCTGGCTCTTCATCAAAGTATAAACCTCTCTTTGGTGCTTCTGAACCCTCAGAAAATTTATTTGTTATTGTACTGTTAAGTTCTATTGTTTTGAAGCGACGAAGACCCCCTCCTCCGGTTGCAGTAATTTCTTCACTCTCTTGACTTTTTGTCTCTCTATATTTTGGTTCTGGACTTTCATCAAAAGCCTCATCATCGTCATCATCATGCCAGGAATGGCGCCTGCCAGATTCCTCTTCATAGCCCGCACTACTTTTACGTGATACCCTCTTATGTTTTCCACCTATTCCTTTTTTGAACTTAACTTCTTCCTTCTTCTGAGTTTCATTTGCACTAATTTCTTTTAACTGTTTTCTGATGTATTCTTCATCTTCGGAACCGGAAGCATCTTCGTCAGCGCTCATCTCCATGATTTGCTTCCGAATGAAATCCTCATCGTCGCCTGAGGCTGGACTGTCTTCCGCTTTGCCTTCATCATCGCTGCTTGAGGAGCCAGCGCTGGTCTGCCGCCTTCTTCTTCTCCGTGGGGCGGGGGAGTTTTCGCTCTCGCTGCTGTCTTCCACAGAATCGTAGCGCTGCCTTCTGGTTGACGCACTCTCTGCCACGCCTGCGGCCTGCCTGGGCCCTTTCTGAGGGGGGGCCAAATTTTCTTCCCCGCCTCGTTCAGGGCCTCCTTCATCTTGAAGGTTCAGTTTTCTCAAAGCTTCCTCCTCACAACGGAGTGGCTCCGAGGCGGCAGGCAAGAGTGCTGTGTCACGAGAGGCCTTGGCCGGCTCAGTCCTTCCAGACTTCTCCTCCACGAGGCTTGTGACCTGAGCTTCCAGAATGGACAAGACGGTGCTTTCTAGCTTAGCCAGGTCGGAGGGGCTGGCCGGGCTGCCCCCTTGCGAAAGAGACTCTTTCTCAAAGGACCCTTTCAGCGCATCCTTTTCGTCCATCTGAATAAGGCTTGGAATTTCCCCAAGCGAACTAGAGACGCCATCAGAGGAATATCCTGTATCACTCAAGCCTTGAGGGCTTTTGGGCTGCTGAGAACTTGATATATCTGATCTGTCATCTTCTTTTTCCTAAAATATAAAGACACAGACACACATTAAGACTTATCTTTTCAAGATAACGAAATAATAAATTCACCATCCACTATAACTGTAATTGTGAAAACCTTGAGAAAGCATTGTGAGTGACAAAATTTGGTTAAGCTACAGCTTTTAATTTCGCATTTAAACAATAAAAAATACCACTTAACTTACATTTTTTCAATTAAATACAAAATAATTTATTCTCAATATCATTCAGGTATATTTTAAAGTGTGGTGCTATATTTAATGGGACCAGCATCTTATTTAGATCTAACAGGATTGTATAAGAATACTTTGGTGCACATTCAATTGATAGAAAAATTCAAGTTGCATAAAATCACAAACATCTCTAATAAAAATGAAACGTTTTTTTCAAGACTAGCCAAGGTTCCCTAAGTGCTGCCACCTGCTGTAAATTACTCCCTTCCATCAAGAGCAGCTTCTATGAATATCTCCAAGTAATTTTTCTGGCATGACATGGAAATAGACTTTGTCAATTCCTAACAAGTGAGGGAGGTCAAGCACTTACTGTTTTTTCTCTCACTGACTCCACAGGGTAAGATTTTGGTAATGACACCGGTAGATCTGAAAGATTTTCCTCAGGTAGTTTATGAGCTTTTGAAATCGTTTCTGATAGTGTGGGATCTTCCTGCTGTTTTGTTGCTAGATGCATTTCAGAGTCTGGCTTTTGTTCAAACGATTGCTCTTGTTTTGATGCGTGTTCGATTTCGGCGAGGTGATCTGAGGCTTCTGATGGTGGTCTTTGGCTGCTAATTGTCTCGGAAGACTCTGGTCCCGCCCTGGGCAATTTCACTTGTTTTAGTTCCTTGAATTTCACAGAATCTTTTAACAGCTGGTCGGCAGAAGCCGTTTTCATTATTTTCGCTGGAATTCGTTTTGAATCTTCTTTCTGAATTTGATCAAAGGATAGTATTTTGGCCAATTTTGCCTGCTGAAATTTTGGTTCAACTTTCACAATTTCACCATCTGAGGCTACTTTTGTCATTTTGCCTGGATAAACCTTTCGATCTGGCTTTTGAGCGTCTTGTAGGATTTTATCAGCTGATGGTATTTTTTTCAAGGTCACCCGATCTGTCTGACTCTGATCAGCAGAGGGCAACTTGACTTGAACGGCTGGTTCCCCCTTCGGACTTTCCTCCCTGGCCAGTTTTACTTGTGGATGTTTTGAGTCTTCGGATAGAGATATTTTCGCCTGTTCCAGGTTCATCTTATCATGTGAAAGCTTATCAATTATAGGCAATTTTGACTCTGTTTTTATAATTTGATCAGCAGATGATGATTTTCCCAATTTTTCCTTTTCTGTTTTTGGAATTCCTTGAATGATTTTATCAGCAGATGTTGTTTTTGCTAATTTTCCTGGCGAAAGCTTTGAAATGTCAATTTTAAAAATTTCTTCTTGGATCCTTCCAGTAAATGTCTTTGTTGAAAGTGTGTCCTTCTTTGCCTTGGGATCCTCTTTCTGAATTTTTGAACCCATCTTTGGTTTTTCAGGCACCAGGGCAGGTTTTGCTGAAATCTTTTGTTGGTGGGGCAGCTCAGCAGGTTTAGACTGACTTTGAAGGACATTTGTTGGTCTGGCCGAAGATTTTGGAAATACAGGAGATGTGATTTTTTCTATATCCCCAAGTTGTCCTGATAGTGCCCTTTGAGTTTGGCAGTTTAAGCATAACCATTCTTGAACCTGGAATTTAATGAATGGCATTACATTACTAAAAAAAAAAAGTATCTTATTAAAATAGTAACATTGATACTTGTAACTATAAACAGAATCCTGACTTTACAAACAAGGTAACTTACTTGACACTGAAATAATGCTCCTTTCGACTATGCCCGTTACTTTAATCCTGGCTGCTTTTAGACCTGCTCTTAGCAAGGTGGCATAGTATGTTCCTCGGTTTTCCTACCAGAATGGCACCATTGCTTAAGCCGTGAGTGTCCTTGCCTGTGTCATATTCGACCACTAGCGTAGAATACAGCACAGAATTCAGGAGGAGAACGGGTCCAGGGTAGAGTCCCCTGGGAAAAAAGCTCTGGCATGTAAGAGAGAGCCACCATTAACCACCCAAACTCTTTCCGATACAGAAGCCGGTCGGGGTAGTGATGGCGCTCTCTTCTAGAAGCTGCCTTAGAATAATCAAGAGCCATTAGCTCAAATGTCTCAAAATGTCTCCCCTCCCCTCCCCCAAACAACAACAACAACAACAACAACAAACTATGGAAATGCACCTAGTTCTGTTGAATAGCTCATGTTGCTTTAGTAGTGGGTTCCATGTTTTCCTACCATGAATAATATTTCTGATTCAAGACTTTGCCTTAAGTTCCTGTTTTTTTATTGTTATTCAGAAAAGAGTAGTTTGACTTCTCAATAATAGAAAGAAATTCTCTAAGATGGCCAAAGAGACAAACAGCTTCCCCCACACTCCAAGTTTCATGAACTTGCCTATGTGAAAGTTTTTGTGACTTGACGTTTGATACACAAAAATAACATAACTGAATTCAAGATGGACAAGTAGGCATACGCACACTACTATTTTTAGTAGTGTGTCAGAAGCACGTACTATTTAATAAATACATAATTTCAGAAATTCAGTTACATACCTGCATTATGTATAATCAGTTACATTTCATAAACAATAGAGTAATGCCTATATAATTAGGATAAGGTCTACCTAAAGCTTATTCCTCATTCCTATGAAAATGGCTCCATCTCTTTAAACAAAATCCCAATACAAATTCTGGGGAAAGCTTTTGTAGGTCTTTATTCACATCAGTCCTAACTAAGGTTGCATAACCAGTGCAGAAAATCAAGCCCTGACTTCTTTTCCTAACACTGGATTGAAGCTACGTAAGTCGCCCATTTCTCCTCCAACGCATTTCTTAGAGATTGTGTTATTAAATACTGGTATTAAATATTAAATGCAATATGCAGCATAAGGACATTATGAATCTATTCATAGCATAATAAGGAGTGGATGAATGAAGCTTGTTCGGATCCTTAGTGGAAAAATAGGAAGTCACCTTCCTGGGAGGGAGGTCAGAAAGTCTGGGAACGGGAGACCTGAAGAAGGCAGAAGCTGGCACAGTGGCTCCCTCCTTCCCTTCCCTGCCATAAGCCTCACCAGTCACCCTCTTTCTAAGGATCAGACGATGATAAGGCCGTCCCTGTTTTCCAGCAGGAGGGAGGGAGGGAGGCAGGCAGCAGAGCTTTCTGAGACGGTTGCATTTTAACGATCAAAATCCAGAAAAATTGAGGTCAGGCTTTATGAACTACAATAAAACAGATGCTGAGGGGTTTATTTGTAAGAAGTCAGGAGATCTTGCAATGGGGTAATTTTAAAGACATTTAAATATTTAAAGAGCAATATTCAATATGTAATGTATAAACATTTCCATGACACAAATTTAACAAAATCTTTACTTCAGAATGCAACTAGATACTACCAAGCAGACTGGATTTAGAAAGAAGGAACATATCTGTTATTGTTGCTTATTCCTGTTTATATTACCTCAATAATCTCTGGAATATCTTACCCAAGTTTAGGAATTGAGGTTGTTAGATGATATTTTATTTTGTGTTATATTTCACTTACTGTTTATTTGTATCTTGTTTACTAGTGTACAAACCAGCTTTTCTCAGTTTTTGCTCTATCTCTTATAACTGAGATTATTTTGAAGGGCTCTAGATATTTTAGGCTTTAGTTTTCATTTGTAGTAATTCTTATAAGCAGCCTAGAACTAAGGAGAAACTTCCTGACAGTTAGAACAATTAACCAATGGAACTACCTGCCTCCAGAAGCGGTGAATGCTCCAACACTGGAAGTTTTTAAGAAGAGATTGGACGGCCACTTGTCTGAAATGGTATAGGGTCTCCTGCCTGAGCAGGGGGTTGGACTAGAAGACCTCCAAGGTCCCTTCCAACTTTATTATTATTATTATTATTATTATTATTATTATTATTATTATTATTATTATTAAGTTTTGTAAATATGTTGTTTTTAATTATTATATATAAATTTTAGCCTTACAATGTTTTAATTTTGGTTAGTCTACTATAGGTTTGCTAGTTTATTTATTATTTGATTTTATTTAAATAGCTGCCTATTTCACCTACATGATGCTGGGTGGGGCTTACCACATTAGGAAATAGCATCTGTAAGTGCCCAGAGTCAGGAATGTGAGATGGGTGTATATACTGTATAAATTGAATGAATGAATGGACAAATAAATAAAAATACAGACAATGCAAAAATAGAACAGAAAGTAAAACGCAGCTTCTGCAGAATCATAAAAAGTCCTCAACATAGTGAACAAATAGACTTTGTTCCACATTTGGGGTCCCAGGCTCAGGCACAATGACACAATCCCACACAAATCCCAGCGCCTCAAGTGGCCCAAAATCCACAGCTGCTTAGTCTCGCCAGGGTCTAAACGAATCCTGCCCCTCCTCACCCAGACAACCCCCCCAACAGTGGTCCAGTCCTGGGACAGGATCTCCACGGCACTGATTGGTCCGTCCTAGGGCCAACCGAGCATCCCAGGGATCCTGGCCTGGAGGGAGATTAACTGTCAAAGAAGCCCCATCAGGACTTAGGTGGGGGAGGTGATTTAACTCTCTGGGGCAACCAGCTTTTGTTTTTGGAATTTGCATAACAAAACTCCAAATTACCCAGTTAAGGGCATGGCATGCTTCTTTACAAGCTCCAGGTGTTAATATCTGGATAAAAATAATTTATGTTTAGCTATTATTTTGACTTTGTCTTTCCCGTGCAATCTGCCACAAACAGAGGGTGATTTGGTTCCAGGCTGTACAGTGGCCCGCACAATATTCCTTGTAGGCTAATACTAGGGCATTAGATGCCAGCTGTCTGAATGTTTAAGGACAGCGTTCTTGGTCTTTGGCTTCTATTCGTGTGGGATCTAAGTGTATCCTCACCTACAAAAACACCCAGATTATTTTCAGCTGAACATATAGGTGAGATATTTAAATGCAACAGAGAGACCAACAACGCTAAAAATAGAACGCCTCCAGAGACTTGTCAAGTTTCATGCTGTGGATCTGATTTAATGGAGCGATTTTCTTTGAACACAAAGTGGGGCCAGGGTGCAGCAATACGGAACTGTTTTTAAAAAAAAATTACAAAAGAAGCTTATACTATTTCTCTTTTCCCGTCTTATCAACTTTTTCCCTGCAAAGGTGATAATGGTACATAGACAGGCTACCCATGGGGCTTATGGGGGACATGGGAGGCTATATGGGGCTTGCTGTAGTCCACCCAGTGATCACGTCATAAATTCGGGAAGCTGCTCCCTACTTTGGCTGGCATGAAATTGTCTCTTCCCATGGAGTTGTCATACTTTCAAACAAGTCAATTCAATGTCTCAAAGCATTCATAATCGTTTTTACACGAGATTTTTTTTAACGTACAACTGATGAGCAACATCTGTCGACTGTCACTTGCTTTGAAATCCCCTCATTGCTGCAAACGGCAAGACCTTAATTTAACTTGTCATAAGTAACAGATCATTGTGGCTAGTCTAGCAAAGCTATACCTGAAAAGTCCGAAAGACTTAAAGAACTAATAAATTACTCTGGATAATCTACAAGCCCAAGTTCAGTCCAGTTCAGCATGTGTTTATTTATATATTTTGGTACAACACATCCACATAGAGGGTTTACTCAAGCCAGGTTGATACTCGGTTAAGTCCTCCACAAAACACATGAACTGTTGTATGGCGATAACTGTGAGCATTGCTAGAGCTCCCGCATGCCAGGAATCCGACTGAAACCTTATGGGAACAGTTTGGGATCGTTTCAGAGTCACAGGAGCCAGGCTGGCAGGAGAAAGTGCACAAGTCAGTCATGCAAAAACACACTCTCTGTGAGTCAATCCGCACAAGCAGCATCTGGGAGATGTTTTCTGTAATAGTGTGGTGATAAAAGGTTGTGAGGTGGGTTGGGCTCAGAGAGAATGACTGGCTCAAAATCACCCAGCTAGCTTTCATGCCTATGGCAGGACTAGAACTCAGAGTCGCCCAGTTTCTAGTCTGATGCCTTAACCACCAGATCAACCAGGCTACACAACATCCCAAACCTAACAATTGTTGATAAGAAAGACAAAAAAGTCTGGGAATAGTGGACATTGCAGTATCTGGAGACAGCAGAATAGAAGAAAAAGAACAAAATACAAAGACCTGCAAACAGAACTAGGAGGGCTGTGGCAAAAAAAAGAAAAGAAAAAGGAAAGATAGTGTTAGACAAGTGTGCTCTCCAGTGCAGCTTATGGTTACTCACTCACTCACTCACTCACTCACTCACTCACACACTCACAGGACTGGAAAATTTCCACACTCAATCCCAAATCAGCTGAACACTGAGGCACAAAGGGCTCTTTAAAATACACAGAGACCCAGTGAATTTAACTTAAGGAAATATTCATGGAGTATAAGGTTTAAAAAGGCAGAAAACTGCAATAAAACCATTTTTAAGACACAAGAGACATTTGTGATAATAATGGAAACTTTTTAACAGGGATATATATATATATCTGTCTGTGTGTCTGTCATCTACTGTATCTATAACAAAATACTAAAATTATTGTGAATTGACTTATTGTGTAGTAGTGTACTATACTGAAGGGGGGGGAAAGAAAAGGATGATTTTCTCCTTTATTTTTACTAGCACTAGAACCCTTGGCAATGCAAATATGCTGGGGGGGGGGGAAAGAAATGAAATCCTACGAATTAAATTAGCTGCACAAGAACATAAATTGAGATTGTTTGCTGATTACATTGTGCCAATATTTGCTCAATCTGGAGTCTCCCTAATAACATTTAAGGGACATACGCAGCGATATGGTTTGGTGTCGAGCTATTGAATATCAACAGAGAAAACTCAGATGCTGAGATGGGAGAACCTTTCACAGGGTCTCAAGATGGAAATTATAAATGTGACAAAAATGATTGCAAAATAGAGGGCATGGATCACTTAACCACCGCCTTGCTTAGCAATGGAAACGGTGTTCCAATTGTGGCTATAAGTCGAGGATTACCTGTATAGTACACATACAATGAATAATATATGGTAAATTGCTCATATCTAAGGGTGATATTAGAGACTTAGTGAAAAATAGCAGCACATAATTCCTTTCTATCAAAAAAAGAAAAGAGAAAAAGAGTCCCTACATCTCGCCAGCTTTGCAAATTCCAGATTGTTTTTTATCAGGAAGAGTTATCTCCCACTCATTCCTTTTGTTGTTTTAAAGAGCTGTTGATTAGGCAAAAGTGACAAGATTGTAGCTAGGGAAAAAGAATAGCTGAGAATTAGAAATGATTGCATGCATTACAACATGCAGCCGAGTGTTGAAAGCAAAGAATAATCAGCAGCAGGAGCAGCAGCAACACTTCCGTTCTCTGAGATCCCAGCAGGGACAAAGCAGAGCAAACCTCCACCTCCCTCCCTCCCTCCGGGAGGACTCCGGTCTGCTCAGAGGTTCTTGGCAGCTCCTGCTGCTCTCCGCATCCATTGCTCAGGGCCACAGGCCGCAGGTCTGGATGGCTACTGAGGGAGGGAGTGGCTGTTAAACGAGAACCACCCCTATACAGTAAGATTAACCTAGTTTTTATAAACTCAAGATAGTCTTCCTCCAGGGCATTTACCAATTCATTCCCTTCTGCAGTCGGTCTACATACATTCTCTCCTCTCCTTTTTAAAATTGTAATATTAATTTTTAAACTGCTGTTTTTTTTATATAGTTTTTTTTCTTGTGTACTGGCTAGAGTCGCATTTTGTGAGATGAGCAGCTGTGTAAATACGATGAATAAATAAATAGTTCCTGATCTATGCTTTTCCCTGTGAGCTCCAACCACAAGCCCTGAGAGGCAAGGAGAAGCCCTGAGAGGCGAGCCGTGGCTTCCCTGCATGCACAAGGCCTGGGAACCGAGCAGAGGGTCTTGTGGCCACACGGGCAGCTGGAAGGGGCGGTGGGCTTTTTTTTTTTGAAGTGCAGAAAGGAGCGAACCCAACGTTTGTCCGCTTGAGTTCAGCCACCACTGTCAACTCTCCAAGGCTAGCCAGAGCCAGGGCCTCCCACCCACCCACCCAGGCTGCTGCCTCGGGGGGGGGGAGGGGGAGGGGCTTCTCCTCAGGTGCCCGGCATGCCTGGCGAACTCTTGGGCTGGTCAAGGTACAAGGGTTGCAGTCGCTCCGCTGCTTGTTATCCAGCGTCCTCTCTCTTCGATTCACAGCCTACCTTACCTCCAGGAGCTTAAAAGTTTGGTGATCTCCCCTCTTTCTTTCTTTTAACATCCCAGAAGATTTCTGTGAGAAAAAATGACCTGAGACGTAGCTCCAATCCAACCAGGGAACTTCCTAGCCCAGCACCAACCACTCCCAAAGCTCCCTCAAAATTTCATACCCATCCTGGCTAACTGCCAGCTGGAAGACCACTTTTTATGAGGAAACAAGGTTAAATCACCACTTACTCGTCCAATTATCTTTTGAGATAATGAAATAAATCTATCAAGAGACCTGCCGCAAGCTTTTAACAGAGGCAAAAAATAAAGTGCCAGGGAAATAAAAGCCTGAAGTTCTACATGATTCAGCAGCATCTGCGAGCTTCAACAAGTCTATAAATAGCAAGTGGGCAGCTCTACACAGTTCTTAGCATTTAGATTCTACCGATTACTAACAAAAACCTAGGTTGTATTTACTTGCATGGCATCCTTTCAGTATCTGGATATTTTATATCTTTGCTAAGGTATTTGAGCACTCTCTTCCAACATCATTGGTGGAAATCCAAAACAGGTGGGAAGTTGCACTATGCTTTAAGCCTAAGTGCAAGGCGGCTTAAATTCACCTCAGTCTTGGGTTAACAATTCTCTTAACCAAGGAACAGTTGCTGTCCTTGCCTTGCGGGGGTCTTTGCTCGTCTTCGCTTCCCATCGGGGGGCTTCTCTGGGCATCCAACGAGGTGGCTGTTTCCCTCCATTCTTCAAAGCGAGGGGACCACAGAGCAAATTCTGGGGGTGCTTTGCTCATCAAATTAGGGAGCCCCTTAAGGCTTTGCAGAAGCAGCCCCAGTAAATAAAGATAAGGCTTAGCTGGGGCACACCATATGTCCTCCCATGCTGCTGTTGTGGCTGCAATTAAAACTGCAGCCTAACGCACATACACAACATCCGCCAGAGATCTGTCTCGGATTATCAGCTACCGTTATTAAGTCATCACATTTAAATAAAGCAACGCAGTCGTAAAAGTCTACCCCATCAGCAACGAGGGGCTCTTCCTGAGAGCAAGAGGGATGTGCTTTCTTCCCATTCAGGCGGGCTCTTTGCGGTCCTTCTTCCTTCCGCCCAGGACCACCTCAGCCAACCACAAGCCACCCGTGCAGGGCCTCCCTGGGGCCAGGACAGCTGCCTGAAGGCTAAGCCCATGCATGCCGGTCCATAGCCAGGACGCAGGAGCCTGCTGGGTGTGTGTGTACCAAACCACGCAAAAGACTCGCAAGAAAACAGTTGGCCTCTGTAGGGAGTTTATTTCCCAAACTGGGGGTGCCAAAGTAGGTGATTTTTTTTTCTAATTCAGAAAATTGGAGCTTGGCAATTCAACCTCTTCCTCCCTCCCAATGCCAACGGGAACCAGCCTGGAGAGGAGGGAAACCACCAGCCCAGCCCAGAAGGAGGCCACGGCCAGTTTTTTTGCATTGCCACGATATGGTTTGATTTGAGGAAGACGTTAACTTTAGTAACAGCTGTGAAAAGGGGTTTTGTTACACTTGTTACATTATATTTGGTAAAATGTAAAGTATCAGTTTGACATATTTTAAATATGGCCATATTCTAAATCCACACTGATCTCACCCATTTCTTCAAACTGTTTCATATCACTTTATGAAAAAAAAATCTTCCTCTCAGCTTGTCTGAATTACATTAAATCAAATTTTCAAATTTGTATTTAAAAATTCATAGCAAGGAACTCAACTTTTTCAGCCCAACCTGGAAATTAATCAATGTGTGCATACTGTAATACAGATCCTGTTTATGGTTTCCTTGCCATGAGGTGCTGGAGAAAATAGCCATGAAACTTCTTTCATTTATAATTATCTTTAGTTTGCTTTACGTTTTGTACAGTCTGTTCTGCAAGTCTGTAGAAGATTAATACCTTCATTTATTTAATCATCAGCTATTTATTCTTCACTTATTCTTAGGCAAAAATAAAACCACATTTCTTTGTTTTCAGCTCTAATCTAAATCAGCTTTGTATTGAGGAATATTAGTCCTTTCCCTGCAGAGACCGTTCTCCTTGAAAAATGTTCCTGTTGATTAAGGAGAACGTTTCCCTGGAGGACGGTGTCCAGATTTCCTAGCGTGAGCCGGACGTAGCGACACAGCCAGCCATACAAAAAGACACCTAATCAGATGGCGGGGAGGGGCAGGGGCTGGCCTGTTTATTTCGAAGAGAGATTGAGAAATACAAAATAATAATCCAGGAAAAGACAATGACAAACCACAATGACAATGAATTACTTAAAACCTGTTCCATTGTTCAAATGCAAGTAATACAAGGGATGGGGGCGGGGGGGGGAAGGCCCTGCATGTGGCACACAATAAACTTTTAACCAAGCCGCTTCAGTCCCTTTTCTCAGACTAGGAAGGGGTCAAATAATGGACTGGAGCAAAAGAGAGCTGCACCTACCTCTGTGATGTGGGGCGTTGGGTTAAATCCACAGAGGCTGCACACGACCGCCTTGCACTCTGTGCACGTGCCGTGATTTGGAGGGCCTCCAGAGCCCACGTTCAGACCTGTTTCACAGAGGGGACACACGGACGCCACCTCTGGGGGGCCCTGGGGGGCCTCCGGGGCCCCTGCCCTCTCCTCTCCTCCAGCCCCGAGGGGCGCTTGGGAGGCCCCGGCAGGCAGCGGTGGCGGCTTCTTCTCGGCCTCTGGCTGGCTGACGCGGATGGCTTCCTTTGGGGGGCGCTTCTCTGCCACAGGAGGCTTGGCTTCTTTCCTTGCGGCCCCTCCCCTGGGAGATGGCGGAGGGGGCTCTTTCAGCAGGGTAGGAGGAGGGGGCTGCCTGGAGGGGGCTGAAGGGGCAGCTCCGGGCACCTGAGCTCCTGGCTGGCCCCCTGTGGTAATCAAACTAGAAGCCTGGCTGAAAATCGAAGCCCCGAATCCAAACAGCTTCCCGGTAACCGTTTCCGGAGGGGCTGCGGGGAGTGACCTGGGGGCATCGCCTGCTGCGTGGAGGCCGAAACGCTTGGCTGACTCCGGTGCTCTTGGAGGCGGTTGGGCCTGGACCTGAGGTCGGCCTTGGCCGGGCTTGGCACCCGTGGAGGCTGGTTGGCCCTTTGGAGTCAATTTGGCATCTGGCCCCGTGGGATTCGTCTGGGGCTGGGCTTTCGCAGAGGGCTCTTTTACCCCTCTTACCGTTTCCGTCTCCTTTTGGCCCTTAGCATTTAAATCGGTTCCAAGCTGAGGACCGAGTTTTCCTCCAGACTTTTGAGGGGACCCTTGGGGAAAAGTTTTGCCACCTGGAGCAGCCACTTTATCAACGGGCGCAGGCTTGTCCCGCGGCAGCTCATCCTCTCCTGGCCTCGGAAGGGGCTCCGCTTTGCGTCGAGGGAGCAAAGGCTCGGGGCCCTTTTGTCCGGAGGGCTCAGATGCGGAGGCATCGCCGGTGAGTTTCCGAGGACCGGGCTGCTTCCGTTGATCCTCGCTTCCCGACGGCTGGGCCTGGTGGGACTTGGGGGCGGATTCTGCTGTCCTGGGTTCAGCAGGAAGAGCCTTCGCTTTTGCGGGAGAAGAACCGGGCTGGGCGGGCGGCTGCTTTGCTTGGCTTGGCGGCTTTTGCTGTTCCGCGGACTTTGTCGCATCCTGTTTCAGAGCACTTTCTTTCTTCTTCGCGGCTGGCTGCGGTTGGGAAGCTGCTGTGGCTGGAGTCTCTTGCCTGGGTGCCAAAGGCCGAGCAGGAGCCAAGTCACCCCCTAAAGCTCTTTGCATCTGGCAGTTTAAACACAGCCATTCTTTGATCTGTATGCATAATTGAAAAACAAAACAAAACATCAAGACAGAATTATATCCTCGGTACCGAAAGGTCCACTTTATATTATATGAAGGGGAAAGGGACTCACTAGGGTTTTTTTTTTTACTACTTTTTACTTTCCCTTCTTAAATTTCCAAATACCTTTCAATAAAATAGTTCTCCCATCATATGTCTGCGAGCATCAGCTATTTTATGATAGCTTACCATTTCTGATCTGTTTTCTAAATCACATCTTTAAAAGCACCAAAACTACATTTAAATTATTACCTTGTTATATTTGTACTGGTTGGTTGCAAAAGCATGGTCCATATTAAATTTTTTGGTGGAAATAGAATCATTTGAAATCATTTTTTAAGTCAAAATGATTTGAAGAAAACATTTTGTTATTATGATTGGAAAATCATAACAATCTTTCAGTCCCGCTGTTGAGTACACTACCAAATATAGAACATTTATCTTCTGTAGTGTTAGATAAAGTATAATATTATGGCCTTCTGAGAGAGGATTAAGCCTGTCTGGCCTAAAACGGAATCACCACACTTCCTGCCAGTGTATTCCCTAGAAAACATCTCAAATCAGGTGACTTTGTTACACCAGCAAGTCGTGGTTGCCAGGCAACATTAATACTGGTGCTGATGAAGATCTGAGTTTGCTATCTAAATTTAGGGATGCAGATTTGAGGTGAAGAAAACTGATAAGAATGTTTGATAGTGATGATACAATTATATAGAGATGCTTTAAGAGATTTGTTTGAAATAATGAATTGATAAAATGAGAAATAAAAATGGTCTGAAGGCTCTTTAATAATGGGATCTGTTTCTCAGATTAGAGACTCTTGGCAAGAGACTGGCTGCCCCTAACTACATCTGGGAAAGGTGGGCTTACAAGGGGCTGACTTTAAGAGCTTTAATTTGGAGGCTGTACAGAAGGGAGAAGAGAGTCCAAGAAGTAGTGAACATCCAACAAGTCTGAGAATGGGGCCTGGAGGCGCATTTGGGGATGAGAAGGAATTAAACTCAAATATATCATTTTAATCATTATTGGGAAAACTGGGAATAGTTAGAACCTATAACTTGCATGAAGAAAGAAAGCAGTTGCCAAAGGAAAAAGGCAACCGGCCCAGAAGCTTCCAAGGCCAGCATGTCAAGCCAACCCATCCCAAGCAACCGGAGAGGGTGACCAGCTTTCTCTTTGAAGGATCAGGGAAGAACAGCAGTTTTAGGCAATTTATCATGATCAGTCTTGTTATGGAGAAACCCTGAAGAAGCTTCCATGACATTCCAGAAACCTGGTGATCATGGGGAGCAAACGGACAGTTGACAAAGCACTTATGATATGCTCAACTTCTTTGAGCATAGGTTCCCAACCTCTCTGAAATTTAGCTTCCTTTCAATAATGTTTTTTTTTTTAATGGGACCATACATTTATATCTTAAATGTACTTACCTCTGTTATATGAGGATTAGGATCAAAACCGCATAAACTGCAGACTATGGTTTGACACTGGGTGCAAGTACTATAATTGGCCATTTCAGGAACGTGCAGGAGGAGTTCAGTGGTTGTGCAAAGTGGGCAAAAGTTTTTCTTTGTGGCTTGTAATCCGGGTTGCGATGGAGTTACATGTTGCTGCTGGGAAGGTCCAGGCAGTGGATCATCAGGTTCTGCCGGCCCCGCCTGTTGCTGGAATCGAAGGGTAGACTCAGCCGGTTGGGTGGGAGGCTTTGCAGGTGCCCCAGGCGGCTGAGATGGTTGTTTCCCAGATCCTCCAGGCTGGGGGAGTGCTGCTTTTGCAGGACCGGCCACATGTTGCAATGGTTGCTTACTGGACGCTGCTGGCTCAGGTTTCGAAGGACCTTCCGGCTGCTGAGGTTTCGGTTTAGAAGGGGGTGCTCCCTGTTGGGATGCTGGTTTTTTAAGAACAGAGGAGGAAGTTTTAGCAAGGTCCATACTAGGAGGCTTTCCAGCTCCCGACTGTTGTGGTGAAGATTTTGCAGGTTTCGTAGATTCTTGTTTTAGGAACCGAGACGTGGGTGGTCCTGGATACTGTTTTGCTTCTTCTGTTGTTTGGCCAGAGCCTGTTTTCTGACTTTGCTTAGGCATTCCAGACTGTGGTTGCTGCTGCAGTGCCTGTTTGGGAGATCCTGTTTTTTGTGGGACCAGTTTGACAGCCCCAAGTTGTGGACTACTTGGCTTTGGAGATGAATGTTGCAGTGGTTGCTTGGAGATCCCCTCTCGTTGCTCAGATTTATCCTGTTCCTTTTGGGTGGGCTTCACTCTCTTGGAGCCTTCATTCTGGTCTATATCTGAGTCAGATATCAAATCAAAAGGATTGAATTTATTTACAACTGATGTGACTGCGCCAAATGGGTTGGCATCTGAGAGAAAGCTGGGCATTATAGTTGGCTTCTGATCATCCTTCAAATCAGTCTTTGATTTAGACTCTCTCAAACTCATGGACGATGTGCTTCTTCCAGGGACCTGTTGCTCCGTTTTCAGGGTATCAGCTGTTCTGCTTTTACTTAGTGTGGGGGGGCCAGGATCTGGAGGCTTGCCCTGTTGTTTTGGGTGATCACTGTCATCAGGTGGAGCAGATCTGTAAAGATATCAAGCAAAGTTAACCCAGTGCGATGATCTCTGAATACCATAAAATGAATTCAATGTTTTAATTCCAATAAAGATGTCTTTCTCATTTCCCATCCTTCACATGCGGAGGTCATTTTCCAGATTGAGAGTATAGGTGACAGGTACTGTAGGTGAGGCAAAATTATACTGTATGTGACATTTCCTGATGGGGCTGATGAATTTTATTAGAGGTAATTGTGTACATTTGCTATATTTCTGACTTTCACTATAGTATGTTTATTAGTAGGACTAACAAAAATCCAAAACAATTGGATTTAACCTGAGAAAATTCTCATCTTCAAAGAATCCTAGAATTGGAAAGAATCTTGACAGTCTTCAAGACCAGGGAAACCTCAGGCCAGCTCAGGCCAATGGCATTCCCACCTTCGCTTCAACGCCCTCAGGGGAGGCGACCCTAAAACTTCAGCAGGCAGAGAAACTGTTCCGCTGCTATGTAAAAGCTCTTGAAGAGATTACATGTGGAGCAAAAGGCTAAACCTTTGACAATTTTTGTCCAACCTTTTATCCAGGCATTACACACTCTTAAGGTATGAACATATAATTCAAAAGTCAAATGAATCCCACCAACCAAGGGCTGAAGGGGCTGTCTAGTCGTAAGAGCAGTAAGTATGGCCCATGTTTTTCAGACTACATCTGACTTGATGGTCATAGTTTCTACATGCCTCTAATATTTCAGAAACTCAACATTGCACAAGGAAGGTATCAAATGACAAGCTTTTTTATCTCAGTAAATATACGTCTGGTAAAATGATAATAAAGTGCATGAAGCAAAGGACTCAGGTGACAGCCCACATAAAAGACTCAACTTTTATGTGGGCTGTCACCATTTTGGCAAAATGTCAGAGTGAAATTCTGCTCTCTTCAGTAGAGTTGGCATTGGTGAATGGTTGAGATGTATTTTTCCCTCTCTGAAGAGTACTTTCCTCCTTAACTGTTCTATGTGTTTCAGTTTTCAGCATCAACTATTAAAAGTCCTGATGTCTACAGACATTATTCCCTGCTGCACATTAATTTTAAAATATGGTACTCACGACATTTAACCTATTAAAATTTCTCTACTCTGGGAATAATAAAAGTAAAGTGACTCTGCAATATTTTTTTAATTAAGAGCTTCATCAGAAATGAATTGCTGTCATTGTACAAATATTAGGAACCTACTTATTGGATTTATCCAAATGCCAAAGTAAGTCATTTTAATATTTTCAGCTGGCAAAATCCTTACGACATTGGATCCTACTCAAAAGCTTCCATGTTGTTTGTCTGTTCCTAATTTCTACTCAAGCATGTTCTCCATACATAACTTAGCACTATTGCCTGTCATAGCCAGGAAAAATATGAACCGAGTTGTCCCAAAGATAGTCTTGCCACACTTGTCACCCTGCAAGTGTCTTGAGCTGGAACATCTAACATTCTTGGGAAGAAACAGCCTTTGCCCTTGATGGCTGAGATTTTGCGGAGCTGCAGTATCAACACATTTAGAGGGCATCAAATTTGGAAAGGTTCCCCTTACTTTCTAAATTAGGAGCCACTATGACCCTTGGTCCCTATATCTGGCTCTACTATGAAGTGAAGTACGCAGAGCTGATTGGCTGGATAGGTCAAAGCAGCTGCATATTAAAGGGATGATATGCAAAGAAGGAAGTAGCACACTAGGTCAACAAGTTGTTAGAACGAGACAGGTAATTCACTACATCCACTATAACTTTGGTTTTATCACCTGAAATCAGGGCAGAAAAGACATTACGCAAGAGACCATGACAATCAGGAACGTCTGCCCTCCCACCATGATTACATAAAGATATCATGCCTTATACAGGGAAAGTATAGCTTCTTAGGAAATCTTTCATGTAAAAATAACCATAAAAAGAAGGTTAGAAACATACTGCCATTCCACCAACCTTTCTTTTTAAAATATTTCATTCTTCAAAGCTCATTTCTCCGGCCTTTAAATATAAAGCAAACACTGATATTTACAAAACTGAAAGAAAAATATGCAGCATACAGTTGATTCCCATGCTGATTGTTTCTGTCTAACGTTTAAATGAACCATGATTTAAAATTTTACATTTTAACTGTTGCTGTAAAGTGTTTTATTTCCCCTTTTTAGAAATAATGTTTAATGAAACTTTCATATCAAATTTATAGAGGCAGACATCATAAAATTCCTGCACAGGGTGACATGGAAGCAAAATTATGAAGACTTATGCTGGTACAGTGATAATCCATATCACAATTACTTTAACAGTTACTTCTGATTTTCTCTGCTTTACTTGCCAATAAATTGAGATTAAAGCCATTTTTGTAGGGTCCACACAGTCTTCTTCACTGTAAATTAGTTCCCAGCAAGTTTTTTTGTAGGATTCTCTATGTAAAACTAATGTATTATTTTAATTATCAGCTTAAAAAATCTCTCCCTCTATGGAGAGAAACACATAATATTAAGTCCTAACTGAAGAGTTCACATACCAATTAAAAGCAAGCTACTTGTCACATAACGTAAACCAAACCAGATTTTATTTTCAAAACCAATGCAGGAACAATGACCAAACAAGACCATCATGTTCACGCCTATTAATATCCTATAAAGGTGTACTACAACTATTTCAAAATCATTGCTTATAACAATATACCATAAAAAAATAATCCTGCTAGAAAATAATACAACAAAAACTCTAGAAAACAATATGGGTTACAAAACTACTATAATTTCAGATTTTTAGATCCTACTACTTCATTGTTTTTTTGGAGAGAGGAGGAGGGAGAGGAAGATTTAACAGTTGTATTATTAAGATACTTCACTCTATGTGGCCTTATGGCTGTAATAAACAGATTTCATTTCATTTCATTTAAATAGATGCAATTGGGTCTCTCACAAAGGGATGTATTAACAGCAGAAAAGTTTACCATTGGGAGGATACAGAATGTTAACGTACAGTTTCATCCATCACAACGTATCTTGTCCACCCGAGCCCTCACTTGCTAAAACTATATCTACAACCAAAGGCTACACTTCAGAAAGGCACATAAAAGTGCCTACATAAAGAATAATCATTTCTAGGTAAAATAAAATTTATATCAATGGATTGGAGATAAGTCTCTGAAAGGGTTCACCTAAAGAAGCCAAATCTACTTTAGATGTGGCTTAGAAGTGGAAGTGGAAAAGGTTAAAGTTTAGAAACCAACTTCAAACCTTCCTTGTCACCAGACGTGATGTGAACTGGTGGGAATAGCTGGAGAAAAGAACATAAGGCCTCTAAAAAGAAGCCACCCCTTTTCCAACCCTAGAAGTCACCCCAAAGCCTGAAGAATGGACCACATGAAATTCGCCAAGATGCCAAACCTCAAAGTGCAGAGAGTTGGGGTTATTCCCTCACATAGAAGTTGTATTTTGATTTTGTAGAATGAATAAAGTCGATGAGTTTAATACATTAAGATTAAAAATGTTTAAGGGTGGAAGACTGGCATATCTTTATGTATATACACATATGTATTTATATACACATATACTTCTGAACATACATATACTAAACCTGCTTACACAGAAACAAGTACCAGTGAACTCACTCTGCTTTTGTTTCCCCCCCAGCAAAACTGGCATTTCTTAAAATTTCATTTCAATGTGTGTGCGTGTGTATTTTAATCTGGCCAATATATGTAAGAGTACTGTTGAATTATAATTTAAAAGCTTTTTGAATTCTGAAAAATAACCGTGTACCTACTCCAAATGGTTTAAGCCTGAGGTGACACAGAGTGCATTTGCTGCCTAGCGATAGGGGTTTTTCATCTGTTTAATACTTGCTGTATATCAAAAGATTGGCATTTTAAAGAAAGCAGCCAACATTCTCTTCTGACTAAAAGGTTCTGTCATTTAACTGTCCCAAATTTTTAAGAGGGGAAAAAAAGCATTCTAGTTCAGCCAAGGGCATTCAACCCTCATCACTCTAAATCAAAACAATTCAACCCCTCAATATTTTAGCACAAACATTCACCAATAAGGGACAAAATGCATCGGTTTTATACTCCATCCAGCTCACAGAATGCCTGGTGCTAAGCCCTGGAGAGGGAGGGGCTTAGGCTAAGGCCACACCTGAAGACCCCAGGCAGGGTCCGCTCAGTCCTCAACCACAGAAGTCCATCCAACCGGCCTCACAGAGTCGCTGTGAAGGAGACAAGGCCGCAGGCAGAGGAGGAGGAGCTGGGCTGTAGTGGTACTGTCATAACACATCTGCCCATTTTATTTTGTAAAACATGGCTTAGGATTTGTAGGAACTCAGCTAATTGTGGCTTATTTGATAAGCCATAATTAAGCGTCTTGGCCTAGCACGATCTGTGAATTGGATCTTAAAGAGACCTGTTTACCTTTCTATGTTGAATCTTAGATTGGAAGAGACTATTGAGGCTATCAAGCCCAACCACTTGCATTATTATTATTATTATTATTATTATTATTATTATTATTATTATTATTATTATTATTATTACTTGCATCCCTGACAAACTTCAAAAAAACTAAGGGATAGACTAAAACAGTACATTAAAATAACATGGTCATAGACATATTTACTGGAGATATAAAATTATAAAGAGGTCCTGACTTCTAATGTTAGTAATAACATTTTAGGGTCCTTGATCTATTTTGCATGGTTCTGGTTTATATCTTTATTTCTGTTTGCCACCCAGAGTTGCTCTAAAAGCATTTGTCTCCTTCTTCCTTTTCCCTTGCAGCAGTGAGAAACTCAGCTGAGTTTTTCAGAGCTGCAATGTCAGTTGAAGTAGGCAGATCAACTAAGTTCATGGAAATATGTACCCTTCAGATCTGGCTTTTTTTTTTTTTTTTTTTTTACAAAGCTGGCTTAATCAACTAACCAGTTAAGACTGTGGATTTGGGCTTAATGCAAAATGCTAATTAATCTGAAGTAGAAGAGGGTAAAGCCTGAGACTTGCTGTGCTATTACAACCTTAAACAATGTTTTAACGTTTACAGAGGCAAACAATTTTCATACTGTTTCCTAGCTATGTTCATGCCCCTGAATTTACCAGGAACTGAATCTGATTTGAGGGAGACTTCTCTCACTTATTGCAAATATGTACCTATTAGGCCTATCTTTATTTTGTCCCATATAATTCCAGTACAATTTCAGAAGTTTGATTAAAATAACTCATATAATGAACAATTACATATACAAATCAAAACCACTGTGGAATCGTATTATCATATTAAGCAAAGCAAAATATTTCTTCATATACCGATAGGGCACAGTGAAATACAGAAGTTACCTCTGTATGATGTAATGGTGGCTATCAACTTTTTAAAATGTTAGACCAGGGGTGTCAAACTGCCGGCCTGCGGGCCAGATGTGTCATGGCGAAACCACACCCACCCCATTGCCTGCAATGGAAAAAAAGTCGCAATATGTCACGACACATCACGTGACGTTGCAAGTTTGACACCCCTGTGTTAGACAAACTTATGGTCATCTAGTATAAGAGCTACATACTGCCTACAGAATCAAAGCCTGTTTGTGAGCTTCCTTTAAGCATCTGCAAGGAAAAGAGGAAAAAAAGCATCCCCACCATTTTTGTGGGAAACTATGAATATGTTGATACATCCAGTTTTCTTTACCATCAACATTTAAATTTGCTCAAGATCCTGCGAATTAACAGATGACGCTGAATATATCTCATCAAAATTAATCCACTGGATGAATTTTCCCAAATGAGGCACCTTCTTGATATTGTATAATTGTTGAAAGAAAGAAAGTGCTTTTCAACTACTTTGCAACTGGAGATAACTGGCAATGTTTCCAGGTACAAATTAATATTGTAAATAATGTCAACATACTTTTAAATCTAATTAACAAATACTTCTTGTTGAAGAAAAACTGGTCAACCTGCAAACAAGTATTAAGCATAGATAAAAGATAGGCCAAGGTATATATTAACCTCAATAAAAATAGGTACAAGAATGAAAAATGGTTTAGAAATTAGTTTCTCCATTGGTAGCAGTAAGTAAGACAAAGTAGTAAATAGGGCTAAACCTGAGATGGAAAATGGGAAAATCTCCAATCAACTAAGTCAAGATAAAAATAACACAAAACATATAAGGCACATGACAGTAAATACATAGAACAAATGGAATACCAAGCTTTAATTTAACAGGATGCAGAACATCTGTTGGTTTAGCTGGCCACCTCATTCAGCATAAATTGTAGGCCATAGATGTACTATGCATATATTTGCTACTATGTTAGAGACCATATAAAACATTAAGTACATCAAATAAAACATTAACTAAGCAGTATTTATGTGGAATATCTTTCTACTGTTTGCAATCCATAAAACTTGTTACTTTAGATTAAGTTAATCCATTAAGATTGAAAAATACAAAAGAGGGAAAATGTCACTGAACAAGTAGGGCAAATAATTAGCACCAAGTATATATATTTTTCCTTTTAAAGAGCTATACATGTTTGCAGAGAACATGTACCAATCTGTTCAGATACTATGTTTATCTTCATATGCAGGAAAATCTTCAATGCACAAATATATGTAAGTTGGTGATAGCTTATATTTCCCCTTTATAGATTTCTAAAATCCAAGCATCCCTAAAGGTGAAGAATGAATTGGACACATCCAAATTATTCTATGTGGTGTCAGTAGTAAAAAGACTTTAATTTGGATCCAAACTCTGTTATGGTAAATCAATTCAACAGATAACATTTGTCAATCCTTGCATCATTTTCTTGTATAAATCATGTTACTTATATTGATTTGGACTATTTATATAGCCTAAGTGCTAAATCTAAGTCTAAGTGCTATTATATACACACACTGATACAAGATATATCTGCACCGTATGTAATGCTCTAGCATATCTTGCATAAACCGGTGTAACAGACCCTTTTTCACAGCAGTCACTTGGGCATGACATAGTAGGACCCACACAGGTGTCAGTAATGACAGATTCCATTAAGGTTGATGGGAGCCAGGTGCCTGCTGTTGCTCAGGTGTGAGGGGAAGTCATACTAAATATTTGCCACTATGGAAGCTGTTTTCTCTGCCTTTTCCTGCTTTGGAATACTGCATGCAAATATCCTGTGTTTTCTGACTGTATTCTAATAAGGAGATTTTTGAGACGTAATTATATATGGTCATTGTACCTATTGCTACAACCACACATCTAATGGTGGCCTAAGACTTTTGCACAGTACTGTGTGTCAGGCTCGCAGAATGTGAGTTTGACAAAAACGGTTGCACTCTACACACACACACACACGCACCCACACAGCATATTGCACCACGGCTGCCTGTCTGCCTGTCTGCCTGTCTGCCTGCCTGTGGCTGCGGAGGGCTACGAAGCCTCCACGGGCAGCGCCGGGGGAAGCGGCCCTTTCAGCACCCTGGACAGGGCCTCGCCCAGGGTGCTGGAGGGAGGGAGGGAGGGAGGCGCGCGCGGGGAGGGGCGGGGCGGGGCGGGAGAGCCACGCGCGGATCCCTCCCGGCGCCCCCGGCAGCCTCCCCGGGCGGGTCGCCCCCTTCGCCCTCCGGCTGGCCTCAGCAGATCGCCCCGGCCGGGGAGGAGGGCCGCCGCCGCCGCCGCCCAACGCCAAAGGGGAGTGGGCGATGCTTAAGCGCAGGAAAAACGGAGGCGACTTTCAAACTGGGGCGGCTGCAGAGCTTCACACTCACACACACACATATATACATATACACACACACACACACACACACACACACACACACGTGAAGCAGAAGCCGCTTCCATTTTAGCTCGGGTAAACGCCGCGGGGAGGC